CTGAACTCCCTACTGCCTAAACCCACAGCCTCCCCCAAACCCTATGTACCACAAAACTACGAACGTATATCAGCCCCGTCCCAAAAAAACAAAGCATATAAGGCCCGTTTACCCCCCCAAACCCTAGACTCTTTTTTTTGCTACTGGACCCAAGTCTAGCCAGACGCCAATACCTAAACTCCAAGCCTCAACAAAAGCCCAGGAGGCTGAGGTGACAACAGTTTACACAACCTGTAAACCCCTTTAATTATTCCCATAAACCCAAACCCAAAACCCTTTTGCATCCAGGCCTATTGCGACTGCCGGGTATCCCTGAAGAAAGGAACCCTAAACCCCTAAACCCCCTTTTAATTTCATAAACCCTAAACCCCAAACCCCTTTCCGGATAGACCTGGAGGTCGATAGTACCGCTGAGGTCGCGGTCGAACATCTGGAAAGCAGCCCTGTCATTGCTTTAGGGGTTCAACAGGGTTGGGGATTCAGGGCTTGGGTTTAAGGTCCTGGTGGGTTTAGAGTATTTTCAGGCTTCGGTTTAAGGGCTCTCTCGGGTGGACTATGCTTCTTTTGTTTCATTGTTATTGCCTTCCAGCTGGTTAGGGCTCTGGCTACAATGCAGGAGGCCAACGTTCAGAGCCTGAGGAAGTGATGTGAACTTGCTGGGTTATGGCTTCTCGCTGCGACCCCACATGCACTAAAGACAACCGCCCGAGTTTCGGGTATCGGAGCTTCGGGGTACTGCAGGTCGTGATTCCAGGTGTAAGGGCCCGGCGGATTGAGTTCAGCGGTTTTGGCTTCAGGTTTTTCAGCCCAGAACCAAGGCCATGGTTACCGCTGGTGGGAGAATCCTTCACTGCCTTAAGTACCGTATTTTTTTTGGGGGGGTGGTCCATGCCGTTACGAGTAGCAGGATTTTATCCTTCAGCAGTGGGTGGTGTCAGGGTGCCGCTCCAATCTCTGATGTGTCTGCTTGTCACCTGAGGCCTCGAGCCCTGCATATCTGATGGCTGCGCTGAAAGATGAGCACTTTAAGGCATGACTAGATAAGCTGAAGAATCGCGAAAGCTCGTCGCGACTCACCCCTTCATCTTCCACCCAGCTCAGCCAAAGAAGAATTGAATTCCTGTATCTTTTGACTGACCTACGATCGAACCCTGCTTTCTACCAGCAGCCACCCAAAGTCCGAAAGCCCCTTGCGATCCCTTGCGGAAACTGCCGCAAGCAGCCAAGGCACTGGTATTCGGGATTCCTTGGTTTCCATGCAGGATCAAAACCCGAAGGCTATCCTAGACAAGCTTCCGTCGTCCATGGCTACCGCTACGGGCTTGTCAAGTTGCACACGGGACCTCTCAGGCCACATTCAAGAAAGCAGGCAGAGATGAGCAAACGTGCAGCCTGCATCGTCAGAACTCGTTTAGCCTCGGGGCCGGATGCACTGGCGTTTCGCCAGCATGTCCGGCTCTTCAAACATCCCGCGCTTGCGGCCTTACGCAAGCGGAGGCTGCATAACGCCGCAAGACACGTGGCTGATGCTTAGCATGTCCAGTCCACTTCAGTGCGACTCAGACAAGCTCGTGGCATTGAGGGCCACAGGTTGGCTCAAAACATGGCTAGACATGCTTAGAAGCAACGAACATCAACCGACTCTAAGCCCGCTGAAGCCCATCCAGACATCGGAGTACCAAGCAATCAATCGTGACTCAGGTAGCTGCTGGCCCCTGTCATCGAGGCAAGCATGGCACCCGCCACACCTCACGGGCAACCAAGTGGGTGGTTGCCAAAATTATGGTCCCTTTTGGGGTACCTATTATAATGCCGCGCCTAATATTTATGGTACCCCAAACAGCGACCCTGATTTTGACAACCACCCAAGTGCTGTGGGTTGCAATCCTTATGGGTGTAAGCATTCGATGCTTTCGGGCATTCAGGGGGCCTCTGCTGCATCGGAGTCTTGGCCTCATCCTCACTACAGTCGCCGGTCTAAGCTTCAAGAGGCTCCCAACAGCTATGACCTAGAACACTCACCACAGCCCATCACCCAGAACAAGAAAGCCAGTGATGCCACCCCGAGCCCATGTTGGAACGAATCGGAGCCATCATCCAGAAAAAGCCGCAGACAAGACCTCCCGGGCCTAAGGAAGGCAATCGGAAGGGTGGACAGGGCGATTGGCCGCGAGGTCTGCTAAGCAAAAAAGTGGCGTCTTGCACTGGTGTCTGCTTTGGAAGTTGCTACATGGTGTTGAAATATATAGGTTCCAGTCAGGCAGGTTTAGCGGAGTTGAAACCAAGTTTCCAAAAAAATGTAATCATCGGTCCTTCTGTGGCCTCTTAGCCTGAGACATGCTTGGCCCAAAGCTGCGCTCGACCGTGTCCGGCATGATGAGTACGGTTTGAATAACGCACCCTGGACAGCTGAAGGTGACTTCATGGAGCTGTCTGTGTTCATTCTTTCTCCAGGCAACGCTTCTGACACCGGATTGCTGCGCAGGGTTAGCGACTGGAACTTCGAAAGCAAGCCCAGGCCTGCTCGGGATGCAGCCGAGGACCCCTAGTATATAACCTTGAAAAGCTATTGTATGCCCCTTATCTGGCCCCTTATAGATTGCCAGGCAGGGATTGAAGGGTTCCTCCTTTTGCTGGAGCCCGAAAGCTTGAAGCATCTTGAAGCTGCCTCCCAAGTTCCATGCTCAACCTGCGACTGTGAAGGCTGATGGCCTCTGTCCCGCAACGGATGTGGCGTACCGAAGTTCGAAATCCACTGGGATCCACTGGGGGTTCCCACTCAAAAAGGCTCCAAGCAGACGACTTAACGGCAAAAATCCAAAAAAAAAAAAAAAAAACGCCATGCCATCGGACGACTCCCGACTATGCGGCTTCACTCCCTGGGCTCCGGAGGTCGTGGCAGACCCTCCTCTCCAACCTGAAAGCTCCTAAGCCCCCACCGCGAGCTCAATGAAAATCCGTTGCAGGGTCGAAGGCATCGGCCAGAGCCGGGAGGGCGGTGCCTTTGGGCAGCGCCCCTGTCTGCACCCTAAACCCGAGAGTAGAGACCACGCAAAACTAAGGGGTGCGCTTGGTTTTTGTATGTTTTTGTGGCTCAGGATTTAGGATATGGGAGCTTCGGGCTTCGGGCTCCGACTTGTCTCATGGGAGATCCGGCAAGTGCCGGATGCTTTGTCCCATGAGCATCCGTCGTTGCATCTTCGCAAGGCTCCCTCCGACAACGAGCATGTTGACAGCTCAATCGCAAGACCGCGAACCCCAAACAAGCCCTCTGCCCTAACCAAGGGCCCCCCTTAACCTCCTAAATTGGACCGCCCTCTGTCAGACAGTCGGCCAGCTCGGCAAAGCGGGGGTCCTCCTGGCGGGCTTGAAGGCTTTGGAGCCACGGTTTAGGGTTCAGGGGGCCTCTATGTGCTTGAAAAGTTCAAGGCTCAGGTTTGTATTTTCCTTTTCCCATTCGCCGAGGTCTGGACAGCGGCTCCGTTCATGTTTGTTAAACGCTCAGGGCTTAAGGAGACGGGGCCGAGGCTTGCAAGCTTTGGTCTGCCAAATCGAGGTACTGAGGGTCGCCTACCTCCGAGCACGGCAACTTCGCGTTCGCTTCAGCTCACTCCCGATGACAGCGGGTTTGGATGAATGCAACAGAACTTCGACGTCCTGGAGGGCGCCTGCTACTCGAATGCTGTCTTACAGGCCTAGACAAAGGCATGAGCTGTTGCCTGAATCACGATGAGAAGGATTGCGCGCAGCTCCCGGAGAAGCCATTGCCGGCCACGCCGCAGGTCCTCCTTCGTCGCCACTGAAAAACTCAAATGTCCAAGGCGTCGCTACACGTAGATGCATGCATTTCCATAGCAAAGCATTCCCAACGCGAGTTTCGGAGGAAGTTTCGCATTGACAGCCAACAAGAAAAGCCAGTTCCCCAAGCCTGAGATTCTGAACGGCAGAAATTACGGGCAGCATCAGACAAGTCAGCTGAATTCCGACTGTCAGCCTGTCCAGCTAGCATCACTGATGTCAGCTCAAGCTTACTCTTGTTCCCGCGACAACCGTTTTATGCTGGCCGCCCCGAAATTTCCCCTCGTTAAGCAAAGCCACCAAAGCCGGTCATCATCACGTTACAGGCTTACATGATGACAGGGAGTCGGAATCAAGCACAGCAGCAGGAGCATCGAGCGCGACGATAAAACGAGCTGTGCTTGTCGAAAGGTCGCAAAAGTAGCCAGCATAGCCAGCAATATATGCTGTAAGCGGAAATGCTTTGCAGTAGCATCCAGAAAGGACATCATGGTCATCACGGAAATGAACAGCTGCTGAAGAAACGACTTTAGGATGCACCCTGCAGCCAAATCAGAGACAAACGTAGATGCGAACAGATGGCGTCCGCCCTTCCATCGCATCTGGCATCTCCCTTCGCGCGCCAGTCATACTTTCAGCGTTCCGGACCAATCACGCACAAAGACAAGCAACGTGTTCAATATATTGCATGAGATGCAAAACGGATCCACTGTCGCACGCGTGAGTCTTTGCAGAAGGTGAACGAGCATCTATTTCGTCCGCGTGTCCGAAAGCAGCTGCCGAAACTATGCCAACCCCTGCAAGTACCCCGACCCGCATGAGGATAATCTTGTCGGGCCTAGCACGGAAGAACCTGCACCATTCACGATACATTCTGAAACTGGACAGAAAGCTTCAGAATTCAAAGTCTGCCCGAAGTGTGCTGAATTCCAGCGGCTGTGCAGTGAGTGTTGCAAGCCCAGTGCCTCCCTCGTCCCTTCCACTGCTCTTTTCTCCCGGCGCGAGCTGGGCGTTGTCCTTCATGGACAGCAAACTCCAGCGGATATTGAATCCTGACCATCCATCCCTCAGCGCCCGTGACAGCCTTCGGCCGTCACACACGCATTGAGGGGAAGTGGCACGGCCACGTTTCGGCCAGGAAACTACAGATGCATGTTCTCACAAGATGTAAATGTAGATGGTGGAATTCCGCCTGCCCCTGTTCACCAGAAGCTGATCCCCACCGGCTTCACGCAGAGCTCCAGAGAGCCCCCAGGCCGCAGCTCCGGCCAGCGCGCCCGGCCAGCCTGCGCCATCCAGTGCCGAAGCTTCTTTGAGACCGCTGGAGCTGGCAGCTCTGGGCTCTCCCTCGCGACTCATCGCGACTCTTTCGTCTTTCTCTCCCCCGAGGGCGTAAGGGTCGCTCTCTCTCTGTCTCTCTCTCTTCTTCCCTCAGCGCCGCCTCCTTCCCGCTCTCGCTGGCAGAGGAGAGCGTCGCCGCCTCGAAAAGGCGGAGCGCCAGCGCTTCCGGGCCATCTGCGCAGCGGGGGACGTTTCAGGTGGTCGAAGCATGTGGGTGGTTGTCAAAAGTATGGTTTCTTTTTGGGTTCCTAATATAGTACGGCACCTAATATAATATTTAGGGTACCCACGAAGGGACCATAATTTTGACAACCACCCATGTAGCAATGCATCTTGCATTTTAAGGGTGAAGCAGCGTCGCTCCTGGGAAGAGCAACTGCGCCCCTGCCAGGGCAAAGGGCAGCGCGACTGCGCACCGGGCGAGCCACATCTGGTCGATCGCGAAGCCCACGGCTGACACCGACAAACCTCGGTGCGCGGCAGAGAATGCCTCGACATCAACCGCAATACATGGAGTCTCGACTGCATTCGACTAGCATAGGGTCACCGGGCCGAGCAGGTTCCAGGTCTCGGGGCTTCAAGCCGCATAGGACGCTTAGCCACGGGCCAGTCTGTTTGCTGCCGAGACGCATAAAAAACAGCAACTTTGCAAGTCATTCACCTGCAGGGCGTGAATGAACAGGATGAAAGCTCTGGAAGTACTCTAGCGATGTCCAGTCAGGGTACAAGAAATGGAGAGCGAGTGTCGCCCGAGAAAAGGCTGAAGGAGGTTGCTCGGGTTTCTGTGTGAGCATTCGGGCTTTCGGCCACAACGGCAGCATGGCATTGTACAAAGTCGGAAAGGTGGAGCCAAGGGCCAAGTAAGGCGGGTCTTGTGGCCCATCTTGGGGAGTGAGCAGTTAATAGGACGAGATCGGACAAGGCATGATTAAGCCTCTTGACAACTGCCCTCCTTGCAGCATGGGCATGTGTCAGAGCAGTGCCTTTTTCTGGTGACGCAGGCCTGATGCTGCCGGTACGGCTTCTGGTAGCCGAAGAGGATGGCTGTGCCCATGGTGAACAGCAGCGTCATCATCAAGGATTTGATGGCCACCTGAGCACCCAGACTAAGTAAGGCTTCAGGTTTTGTGACAAGCGCGTCCGCACTCTTGCAATCTTGCAACGAAACAACGCCCAACCCGCATCCGGAACCTGCGGGCGGCAACTGAAATCTGATTCCGCAACCTCCCGGGGTCCAGTTTTCTGCCATCTGCTCGTGCGGCCACAGAGCCACAACGACCACTGCACCAGAAATCAGCTTCATGGCAACTTCCAGCCATACGTTCTCACATGTGGCCTGAGTTCGAGATCCCAAGAATCCGGAAAGGCTGACTGTCTGCAGCGATCTCCGTTTGCGGAAGGGTTCGCGTAGCACCCTGACTAGCGCACGCATGGCACATGGTTCATGAAAGTCTGCACAGCCAGGTTGCGTATTTGAAGAAAATCTCCTTAGCGCCCATCAAGATTCCTGAGTTTCAGTGTTGTCAAGTCCGACAAGCCGCTTCATAGAGGTGCTGAAGTTCACGAACAACCATCTAGAAGCTCAGCCCTAACGATACTTGGACTGTACCGAGACAGTGCTCACAATGAAAGCCGGCTCTGAAGTTTAAGTGTGGGTCCTATATGAACCCTACCGGCTAAAGCCTAGAACCCCCCGTGAAAGCATCCAGGCGTCGGTCGGACTCCTCTTGCTCCAATATCTGCCTCTCCGCCAGCATCCTCGCAAGCGTTGCAGAGAGCCGATGATCTTCCAACTCAACTGCAAGGTCAAAGCTAGAGAAACGAAAGTTGCGAATCTGTTTTAAAATCGTGCTGACAATTCAGACATCCACCGCAAAGAAAACTACTTTGCGAGGAGCTCAAGGTGCAAACCCTCAGTAAGAATCTAAGCACAACCCCAAAACTCTTGCCGCAGCCTTGAAACACCAACTAATCGACTATGCAAACGACCTTCACGCCCTCATTCGTTTGACTCCAGAACCCTGAAACCCCTCCTGCAGGTCGTGCCAACGACTCATCTGCTCAGCTCCGGTATAGTTTCCGTAACGCCACTTATGCTACCAAGTAAATAATTCAACGCTCAGGAAACATGATTTCACAACCTGTTTGCACCCCCCGGCCTCCCTCCCACGCCAATATGGGAAACACACCAGTTGATGAACGGGCCTTGCCTTGAACCCAAAGCCACCCCAAGCCCACAAACCAGACCGGCCTCGTGAGGGCTCGGCAGCGACTCTTGTGCACATCGCTCTGGTCCAGCACTGACATCATGCTGGTCACCTGGCGTGGGCTGCTCTCGCCATTGGGTGCATCACAGAGGGCGCACAACACCAAAGCACCAGCCAAGCGGCGTCTAGCTGAGATTCATCCGCAGCTCCCGGCTGAGGCTCGATCTGCTCCATCTTCCTCTGCTGGCTCAAATGCGCGGCTAGCCAAAGAGCGGATCCCTGCACCGTAAGAACCAACATGAGAACTCGGACGAAAATACCCCTGCATGAACTGAGGGGCATAGCATCTGCAGTCCGCTGTAGGCGGATTCGGCCGTGTAAGTAGATGGCACTGTGGGCCAGTGCTGCTGCCATGAGGTACTCGGCAAACATGGCTTCCTTGGCGTCGTCCTTGTCCTTCCGTGGCACTTCGGCAGTCATGATGACAGCTACAGGTAAAGCTGCGAGAGAGGGCCGTGAGACATTTTCAGCGCAGCCGTGGAGAGTGTGTGCAAGGACCCCGGGTGGATTTGGCAGCGCGTGTTTGGGTTGTTGGTAGTACTTTATCCAGCCTTCGGCGCTTGTAGGTCCCGGACATTACTCCTAAAAAGTTTGCTTGGCGTTCGGAGAGAACGAGGCACAGATCTAGTCGCGACAAAATCTTAAACAAAAGACGGAGTCAGATGGTGAGAAACACTCGCAAGAGCAAGCCTTTAAGAGGTGTTGTCTTTCCACGTACTGCAAATATCACACAAAGATCTGCGAGAAGCAACACACCCCGTCCTCGGTGGCTGCCCGAGTTCTGTCATCTTCTTCCAGCGACGGGCGCACGCTCACCTGGAAGTTCCTCTTTTCTCGGTCTGCTGTGGCGAAACAGACGAAGTGGTCAACGGGTGTCATGACCTTTCTCTGTCTGACGATCAAGTAGACGAGGAAGATGGGGATCAGCAAGCTGTAGGAGGCGAAGCATCCCCACCCTATGTAGTTTGCCTGTGCGGTGCAGGTGTGAACCGCGCGCGAGTCTCTGTAAAAGGGTTGATACGAATTTGGGGGATGCATCTTGGAAAGCAGTAGCTCTGTGCTATACATGGGAAATGCGGCTCAGCAGGGGAATCCATGGCAACTCCACGTGCGCTTGTTGCTGAGACCACGGCCCAGAGCGCTTCCTCGTGAGAGTCCGAACACCTCACCCAAGCTCAAAGATCTCATCACACCAGCTGCACATCACAATGCAACGAGAGATCCGGCCTCAAGTGAGGCAGTGCAGACCGAAAGGCAAAGTCACCCAAAGACGAGCCACCTGCTCCAGCGTGACCACGCACACGGTACCGGGCTTCCACAAGTCATGAGGAGGTACTGCTGAAATCTGTTGAGTACACAGCTTTGGAGTTTCGATCGGTAGTGGTCTGGATCCGACAAAAAACACTTTCAGGGGCGGGCAGCTGCTGTCACCTGCAGCTACGAAGCTACGCAACGCATCGCTGCCACACTCACTGGCGTCAATCTAGCGTGTGGGGCCTTGAACACATCGCGAGTCGATCACACCACGAGCCTCCGTCCACCCTCTGGCACTCGAGGAGTTTCGCACAGCTCGAGGCGCCGCCGATGAAAAACACGGACAGGACCTTGAGCGCCAAACTGACGCCTCGGCCATCTGTGACATAGATTCGTCTCATGACCACCTTCTTCTAAGCCCCAAATGAAGTGCCGTCTCCCACCTTGGCCCCGGAGCAGGGCTTCAACGAGTCCACAGAGCGCCAGGAGCAGCAGAGGAAGGCAGGGCGAAGCAAAGGCGCCCACCCTTCCGGCCATCCTGGCACGCATGCCACACGGACACTCCAGGCGAGGCTGTATTGTTCGCAGGGCCGAAGCTTGGAACCTTCTCCGATGCCGACGAAGGGACCCAATGCTCGCAGTCTTGACTCACCCTACTCGTGGCCTGCCGTCGATGCACTCGAGGCTCAGTGCATCGCGCACTCCGCTCGCGGTAAACTGCAGCCATTGCACGAACTCCTCCAACGGAAGCAATTCGGTGGGTGTAGCTGGGCAATAGGTGGGATGCAGGCTCTCCAAGAAGTTCTCGACGAAAGCTTGTTCTCAATACCCTCTACGGTGTGGCCTGTGTCATCCACAACCCCTCGCATGTAGTCACTTGCTTGTTGGACGCGGCTCCTGATCCCACTCCACCTTCTCCGTCCGGCCGCCGCTCGAGTCCTGCAGCGCAGCGAGGACGCCCCAGAGCTGGAGCAGCTGCAGCAGCACAGGGCCCTGAGCCAGCAGCAGCGGCCCCAGGGCCTCGGAAAGACCCCGGAATCCTAAACGCTCAAACCTCCGTTCATCCTTAGCCTGAGCCGGCCCTGCAAGTTCTGTGATCCTGCAACATTGCAATGATGGGATCCGACTGCCGCCCGTGAGGCGTCAAAAAGGCTCGGCGGCGCCGTCAGCGATGGTGCGGTTTCCTCGGCGCGGCTCCTGCGAAAGGCCAAGTACAAGGTAGGCAAGCTTCACCCGAAACTCGAAACTCTAAGCCGCTTGCGCCTGGACCCTAAACTGCACCGCTCCTTCTCCAGGCGACCACGGACCCTGCCACAACCAGCAGCAACGCGGCGGCCGCTGCCATAGGCCAGCGCTCAATCTTCGCGGCCTTGCCACACTCCGTGCATTGGCCTCCACTGCTGCGGAAGCCCTCCGCGCAAGTGATGCACAAAGGCCCTGTGCGGCCTTATTGGTAAGACGATGTCAGGGTGCAGCAAAGCAATTCTCGTGATCTGCAGGCAAGCAGCCTGAAGTGCATCCCAACTCTGTGCTGTTCACATGGCCACCGCAATGTTCCTTCTCCAGACACCTAGATGGCGATGCGACGAAGGTTAAATCATTCCGAGAAATGCGCAACACTGTTTTTTTCTTCCACGGGCGCCTCGCAGCACTGAGGGCATTGGGCTCGAGGCGGGCATAGCCCCTCTGCGGCCGTGCTGTTTCTGCTCTGCTGCCGGGGTCCGGGCACTCCTGCGAAGAACATGCGGAATGGCTTCCAGCTCTGCAGCTGTTGTTCAGAGGGTGTTGTCGCCACTGTGACAAACCACAAGTTCTAGTTCAATGCAAAACGACGAAAAATGGGCTCCATCAGAGAAAGTTAGGTTTCTAGAAATGCCCTCTACGGGCTGTCCAGGTGAAGCTCGCCGCAGTCTGCGCAGGAGCCCCGGAAAAGGGCCGCGTGCGCTTCGCACATGCAGCTGGCCTTGCCGTGACCATCGTCGAAGATCCTGCGAAGCATGCGAGCAGCAGGTCCCCCACACTCTCCCACTATTTTTCGCCCTCTCTCTCACTTTTTCTCGTGTTTCTCTTCATTGTTCCTATCTTTCCGCAAGCCTGAAGCCTAGGAGATAGCTCGACCCCTCGCGTCACAGGGACCGGTTAGGTAACTGCGCTGAGCTCGGAGAGTAGACGGACAGTCAGGCGGCGATATCAAGCTTTGGGAGGTGATGGACTTGTTGCACAAGCCGTTCTGCGGCTTCCAGGCTCAAGCTTAAACTCTAAACCCAACGACACGGAAATGCCGTAAATTATGCATGCGTGTGCATCTTCTCATGTGGAATGGACCCTCGCGACAGGATGGCTTGTTCCAGGTATGTCCACATTTGAAGGCAGCACAAAGGACAAAGGGACGCAACTCTGAAAAATACCTGCGGTTTTGGCATGTTCGGAAAAAGAATTTATGCCTGTGACCTGCGTGTCTTCCTGCAGAAACCTCCGGCAGCTCTGTGTCGCAGCGTAAGTACCCGGGCTTGAGGCATGTTCGCAATCTGAGCGGACGTGATCCTCTCCACACCATCCCGCATCCAAAACCCCAAACAGTGCAACACCTGCGCGCCGCTAACGACACTCACATTGAACCCAGAAACAGACACCCAACACCTGGCAAGGCACGGAGCATATCTCTCCTCCCGACATCGCACCGGCAACTCTGCATCGTCACGGCTCCGTGGTCTTTGTGGCTGCTGTTTTGGGGGCAGACTTTGCATTCGGTCTGGTTGAACTCGGGGTTGTAACTGCCTGGGCGATGGCGGGGCGATGGCTGTAGAGGGGGAGTAGGAGAGCCTGGCCCCTGTACCCTGAAGTCCCCGACCCCGCTGAAATCCCTTCAGGCTGCCAGGGCCGCACTTCGTGCAGTTGATTTGAGTCCCTTGCCACGCGGGCAGGCACCCACAGAGCTCGGGAAGGAACAGCGAAGGCGTGATGTCCAGAGGTGCATCCTTCAAGCCATAGCAGCTGAAACCGCGGTCTGCGTCATCTGCCACTCTTTTGGGCGTCAGGCTCACCTTCCCCTGCCTCACAAGCTCCTGTGCTTCGGTTTTGTTGGCAAGGTTGACGTCTGTGAGATCCAATCGACTCCCGCGCTCGACCGCGTTTGTCAAAACCCCTGGTTGGAAACTCAAGGGCAGCTCGTTCTCCGCCAGGGAGAGGAAGGCGGCGGGCACGCCAGCAACTTGTTTGATGCGGTTTTTGGACAGATCCAGCACCTCGACCACCTCCCGCACCTGGACCCTTACTGTCCATTTGGACAAAAACAGGTCACCCGTGAGGTTGCAGCCTGCCGCATCCACTAGAGATATATGCTCAAAGATCTTCAGCATTCGCAGGAAACTCGAAGCCGCAGTATTCAAAGGGCATCCTGAGACCTTAGCTGTCAACATCCTTGTAGAACTGTTGGCCAGCAACTCGGGGCCTTGGAACAGCAAAGCACGACCATCATGCAACTTGTGGCATCTTGGCAGCAAGGCACCCATGGTGCCCTGCACTTTTGAAGCCAAGCCGCACTGAGTTGCTTCAAGGCCGGCAGCACACCTCGTATCCGAAAACCCGACGCCCTAGAGCCTTCAGATGCGCGTTGCATTTCGATCATGGGTGATCCATCAGGCACAAGGACGACCTTGCTGCCCTCGGCGCGTCATGCAGTCTCTTGCAGTCTCGCCAACCGTCGCAAAACCAGCGCAGCTCGGATTATCGGCTCAGGCCCCGGCCTTCAGGTCCAGGATCTGCAGCTTCTGCAGCCGCCCAAACCACATCATCGTCAGGCGCCCCGTCATCTGGGCCACCGTCAAATGCTGAAATGATGCCTGCAAAGGCACCAACTCGTTGATGTCTCCGGAGACCTTTGTCCCGGTCAGGTCCAGGTATTGCAGTGTTTTCAAGACCTCTCAGGGGGCTCTTGGAAACATCCGCAAAAGCAACTTCAATGCTTCCTCGATGGTCCAAGACAGACCTAGGCAGCCTTGCAGTTTCAGACCCCGCCCGGTGGCATCCAAAAGCTTGCTGATGAGAGAAGAGGAAAAAGGAGAGTGTGGGGCAGCAAGCGGCTGGCCCTGTTTCAACGCGTGGCGCCTGCAGCGCCTGGAGAGTTCCGGCGATCTCAGTGTGGATTAGACGCAGATCTCGAAGCTCTTGCATATTCTGCACGTCCTCGAGCTTTCCAGTGATTTTCGTCCCGGTCAGATCCAGGACTTGCAGCTTTGTCGAGGCCTCTCAGGGAGCTTCGCAGGATGCACCTCCGACCCAACGCCTCCTTCCTTTCATCCCTGCGACTCTACTCGACTGCGCCTTCAGGTCCTCGAGCTTTCCGGTGATTGCGGTGTGGTCCAAATGCAGCCGCTGCAACTGAGTCAGGTGTTGGAAGTCATGCAGGTCCCCAACGAGCTTTGGGTTGTTGCTGAAGTATAAATACTGGAGTCCTCGCAGCTTGACCAGCTCTTTGGGCACCTGGCCGTCCACGCCTTGGTCCCTCAGCGAGATGGCTATGACGCATTCGCTGCTGGGTCCGGAGCCGCAGCTGACCCGGGTCCAACCACAATACTTGTCCGGGACCTCCGACGCGTAGCCGAGCTTCCGCAGGACTTCCTGGAGTGACGCCTTCTCCTGTGCCGGATCGCCTTGGTCGCCGCGGGAGAGCTGCCCCCACCGACACAGCCGGGGGTCGATCCCCAAGGTCAGGAAACATGGTTGGTGGAGTGGCTGCAGGGAACTTATGGCATTGTACGGCTAGGGAATTGCTGGGGCTATCGGGGTTTCGGTGTTGGGTGTCTTGCTTGTCATGAACTGCCGAGTTGCACTGCGTGTTCAAAGCGCCGGCTGCTAGCATGCTGGATGCCACCTTTCACAGGATTGAGCTGGGGTGGAGGGGCTCTGGTCGGAAAATGAAGCAAATTCCTAAGCAGCGTCAAACACACCACCCCTGATATGCAGTGAGCACCGCATTGAGCGGCATGCTGCGGCATTCTGCAGCCAGCGGTTCAATGGCATTCTCAACTCACAAAAACCCTCAACCCTAATCTGAGAGATGAAGGTCGGGCGAGCCCCAAGCCGGCAGCCTTGTTGGTCTCCTCCGACGGGGTGCTGTCGGCAACCTGTTCCGAAACGCGAGCTACCATCGCATCTGGAACCTTCCGACATGCTTGATTGAACAGTACCGTGATGTACTTCGAACTCGTGCTGTAAGCAATGTAAGCGATGAAAACCCTCACAACAACTTGAATCGTCTGCGGACCACAGCAGCACGTGCTTGGATGATGCCAGTCTGCACGCGTCAGAACAAGACTGTCGGCTAGTCAAGGCATGTCAGACATACAGCAAGACACCTGGCAACGAATAACAAGCAACACGGCCTCGTCTGGCAACAGCGTCCAGTCGGAGACCTGGCGACTGCATCTCCAAGCGAGGCACTCATCTTCGTAGGTAGGCTAGGGATCCCGAACTTCATGGGGTTACGGCCGCTTCTGGCAAAGGGCGCCAGTCTGAGACCCTTAGCTCTCATTCGATATATTTTTACAGCTTCTGCCGGCCTCCTGCTCACGCACAGCGCCCAGCAGAGAGAGACTGCGGAGCGCCAAGAAAACGCGAGCCGCATTCAGCATGGCTGGGTCGCTAGCCCATTTTCCTTCACTGCAACTTGGCCAAATCACATTAGCCCTTGTAACAATTGGCTTCCTGTACGTCATGGCCCTCCTGGGCCCATGGCCGGTGCCCTGCACTCCAGAGTAAGTATACAAGCATGTTTCTCAGACTGCGAGCGGCTGCAGAAGTCGCACAGTGCGTCATAGTTCCCCTGCACCTACATCCACACTGTATGAGCCTGGCACGCTGAACCCTATGAGAATTAAGCCAAGCTTACGAGCTCAAACATCGCAACCTCAAAAAACCTCCGCTTGCCATATACACAATGCCCTAAACCGAAAAATGTCGAACCTAGACCTTGAACCCTCGGAAGGCCATGAAACACTGTCTTCAACGCGCCATGTTAGCGAAGCATACTACGAGAACCTGCAAAACACATGCACAGTTTGGCGCATACCGGGCACCTCAAATGCAGCCTGAAGAACCCGCACAGGGCCTGCAGCTGCTCTCTTTCGAAGGTCGGGGACCTCGCTGCCTCCTCCGCAGCGCAGCGCTGTTCTTCAGCCACTGCCCAACAGACCTGGAAGCAATGCCGGAGAGACAATGACCAAGGATCCTGCATTTAAACCGCAGAACCTGTATTTTAATCGCTAGATTCGAAACCCGAAACCCTAAATAATTAAGATGCTGCACCCCAAGCCCGAAGCCTAAGCCCTTCACTCCATGGGCCTCCCCGGCACTTCGCACCAGCCGCTGGCAGCGACAGAGGCCCACATCGCAGCCGTGACAGCGCCTGCGCTCCTCGAAAGCTTGTGGCTGTCCTTCTCTTCAAGGATTTTTTGCCTCCCGCCTGGCTAGGACGAACCTACGATGCAGGAATAAGAGCTGAAGCGTATTGCTCAAGGTTACTCTTTTTGTTGAACCCTCTCGTCCTTTAGCAGTTTGCCTCCAGAATACCATGCAGAGCGCAAGGTTTGGGGTTTCGGCGCTCACACTCGGACAAGTCAGGCGAGGCATGTTGCAACTACATGGGGACTTGGAGTTGTATGACAACAAATAGCCGCACATCTCTCCCCCTTCAGGATCCATTTGAGTCATGAGAAGAGTACGCAACTTAGCTCAGGGTACAAGCTTCAAGGGGAACATGCTTTGGTGCAAACCTGGCGGTGAACTGCAAGCTGGTTGTAAAGTATTGGAGTGACAGGGCCTGTATTTTCCTCTGCAGTCCAAACTCAAACTCCCAAGAGAACCCATGACGTCTAAGAAGGGGGTCGTCGTCGCAGAACCCCACAGCCGCACCAAAATTGTCAACCATCAGCCCAAACAAATCTTCAAGGTCTCTCCTCCAAAACGTCCCTCCTCTCGACTTACACGGAAACCCACATAGCCCTCTCTGCAGGTTCGGGGTTCCATGTCAGTGCAGTGAAAGGGACACCCTCCTGGCCCAAGCTGATGAGAAGGACGAGCTCTTTCGCCTCTCCGGCGCTTGGGACATCTCCGTTTTGCGCGAGGTCAGTCGGATTCACGGATGCATACCGGAAGGGTCGAGGCAAGCGGCTGCCATGAACAGATGGAGAAATGGCTACCCAACCCGAAACCTTAACGCCTAAACTCTAAACTTATATTAAGGAACAACTCATATTAAGGAACCCTAAAATAGTATTGGTAATTATTAAGACCCCTATAGTAAACCCTACAACAAGAATCGAGGATGCCCGGACGTCTGGGCCTCCTCCCGCTTTCGGCGGAGGAGCCAGGCTCGGCGCTGGACTTCTGCCTGGAGGGCTGTTGAGCTGAGAGTTTTAGAATTTTCCTCTGGTATCTTAAGGTTTTTTCGTGCTTGCTTTTGGGTTTAAAGGGTTTTTGGAGCTGTTCCCCAAATGGTCCCCAAAATGTGGTGTTTTTGTGGGAATTCGACGCTCACACTCGCACAGGCAGGCAAGGCTCCACATAGTCCACCGTATCTCCACAACATCAAGCATCTCAGGGTATCCCTTAACAAACAATCAGCCCGCATTTATGGATCAAGCAACCAGATAATGGCATACCCCGGAGATGTAGCTGACACAAGGTTGGGCATGGCCCCTGTTTCAAAAGGTGACTGTCGCCCCGACTGCTACAGACAAGGGCTCTCAGTTTGACGATGCTAATTCACAAGCATACACGGCAGTTCATCAATTCAATGAATTCTGTCATTCACTCACTTGCCAAAATGGCATCCGTACTTCAGAGGAGGACTTGCACGCCAAATTCCAGAGGACTGGTCTACCCAGTTCCAAATTCGTTCAGCGTTTCATACGCAGCTGTGTCATATATAATGCAGTGCCACATCGCTCATCGCCTGCATTCATGGCATGCAGTGCCACCTTACCAGAGCCAACAGTCCCAGCAAAGTTCCCTTCAAATTCCACAGCCCAAGGCCATCGTTGTGTCAGCTTGCACGTCCATGCCTCACCATCGCGAATTCACGAGTTTGGAATGCTTGCAGGCATCCCGAATTCATAAATTCACATGCAGACCTTCCATGCCTCACCATCGCGAATTCACGAGTTTGGAATGCTTGCAGGCATCCCGAATTCATAAATTCACACATGCAGACCCCGTCGCCAACAAGGTTTTGGTTGTCTGTGTCGCTGCAGTCACATGAATTCGTGAATTCAGGACAGGCTTCAAGCACATGCAGGGCAGATCTGAAAGCAGCCTGGGTGTCCTGAGTTCAGGAATTCATTCTTCATGCAGTGCACTCCCATCGACGCTGGCCAAGATTGCCCTGTCTTTCAGCGGTGCTGTGGTTGGGCTTGCAAGGGAAGCGTGTGTGGATCCAGCCATGCCAGTTCCAAACGATTCTGGATTATCTGCACCGATGCTTTAGGGATGTTACGTGCAGCATCTGAAATCAAGTGCAGAAGTTCTCTCCTCTCATCGTCCGGCGGTGTTCTGTTGACTGGTGTCTCCGCCAACCGCACGTCAAGTACCTCGATCATTCTGGTGAAAGCATCCACTGTATCCTGCAGTGTCTCACGTAACACTGCAGTCGTCCAGCCAGCATCCTGTCTTTTGTAATGGTCAATTGCTCTCATCGCATGGCCGATGTGTCTCACCAGCGAGGGCGGCACACCATTCTCGTAGAGGCTCTGTGCCTCCATCTCACTGATGGGAGCCAGTGGCCTGTACGGTGACCTAGTTCTCGATCGGGATCTCCGTCGTGCAGGACTTTCGTCTCCCGCTGTAGCCATGGCAACGACGCTTCGCGCGGGTTAGGGAGGTAAAGAGGAGTTGTGCACAATATCTCTACCCGTGTGCCCCAGCCCTTCATTGGTGTATGCGCATGAGTGGTACGGCACAGCAGAGCGCACCTCGTCTGAGAGCATTGGCTGCACCAGCACATCGTCACCCATCGAGCGGAGCTCATAATGACAGTGAAAACTTTGTGAACAGCTTGCTGGGGTCTTCTCAACTCCTTATGTTATGCTGTATGGACCTGATGGAAGCAGGCATGATGGCGCGACGAAGCTTAGGTGTGTAAGGTGGAGACGTTAGCTGTATACATAATGGGTGCGAATGGACCTGATGAAAGCGGGCATGGTGATGTGATTAGGTCAGGGCTGAGGGAAGCTGTTTCTGGGGTGTTTGCGGCCCGGGACGTACCACCGGCGGCCGAGGTGTTTGTTACAGGCCCGGGACGTACCACCGGCAGCCATTCTCCCTACCTTAAAGCAGCGTGGGTCAGCCTTAAATGGTTCAGATGAGTGATGGCCTGGTGATGTGTGTGCTTGATGTTTGAGACGATATGAACCTGATGAAAGCAGGAATGATGATGAGCTTGGAGTTTGGGACGATATGAACCTGATGAAAGCAGGAATGATGATGAGCGTGGAGTTTGGGACGATATGAACCTGATGAAAGCAGGAATGTTGATGAGCTGTTAAGGGGGGGAGCGTTTTTGTCAGTAGGTGAAGTTTATGGACCTGATGAAAGCAGGCATGGTGATGACCTATGACGGGTGACCTAGGTCGGGGAGGGCAGGCACACCAGGGACTCCGCGAGTGTTTTGCTGGCTTCACAGCACATGCATCTGCGTCCGAAAATGGGCCACATACAGCAGCCTCCGTCGGGCAATCTACATGCCATGCACATGCATATATGCGCCTGCAACAGCACAGCAATTGCAGAGAACCCTATGGCAGTATTAAAGCTCATCATGCAGGCAACATGCATTTCGCATGACTCGTGGTATGTTGAATTCATGCAAAGGTGAGCACAGCCTTATATCATGTATAAGAGTAAGTAAAGTACAACAAAGGAATACACAAACAAATGAACAGAGTATATGGTAAACCATCAGTGCGAGCGTGTCATGCATTAAATTCGACGGTGCATCATGCAACATGCAAATATGAGCTGTACGGCACGTTGCAACATGCACATGCTGGTATTCGGTGCCCGCCATCATAGCTCCCTTTATCTTCAGAACGACGAAAACAGCATATATGGAGTAGTTTAAACAGGCCGAGTACAGCTAGGCATAAGTGTGTTGGCCTAGTGGAGCTGGTCTTCTGGCACCATGGATACTCTACCATCCGGGAAGGTGACCGTCGCAAAATTGACAGGTCGTGCAATCCTTGATTGCAGGTCAATCACCGTCGGTGCCCGGGAGCTCGCACTCTGGATGGGTGTGAGGGGCACTCCACCTCGGATCCCGAAGCGTTCCGCAAACCGCTCCTTCAGCTCGTACACGATATTCCCGAGCTCCTGGGTCTTGGTGGACTGGTCACGGCAGGCCTCCCGGAGATCCTGCAAGACTTGGTCTGTCCTCTCCAGCAGGTCCGATTGTTCCTTCTGTGTCTCGCCGTGGGCCAGGAGGAGGTCGATGGCCCTGTTCTGCCCTGCACTGTCGATTGGTGCACGGCCCATCGCCGCTCCAATCTGTGCCAGCGAGCCACCCATGTTGTCCACGTGGTTCTGGAGGGTAGCAAGACTCTTCTCCATGGTCTTGAGGAGGGTGACCTTATCCTTGTTTAGTTGATTCGCTTGCCCACGAACCAGCCCCACGTCATCCTGGATCGATTGCATCCGATTCGAACAGCTTGGCCAGCCCGGTAAACTTGTTGTGCATTTTCTCCAAATTCTTATCAAGGAGTTCTACACGCGCCAAGGTTTCGCGGCATCTGTCCAAGACAGGGTTGGAGCCATCCCCCGGCGTGGGAGTGGCCGCTGCCACTGTTGTACCGGCTGCCACTTTGCCAGCTCCATCCTCGAGGTCCGCCTGGACTTTCAGGAGGATATCTCGGACATTCTTCACCACATCTAGTATGGAAGTGGCTGTCGCCGTCTTTGGCATTCTGACCGAGAGCTCATTGAAAAGGTTGTTGACAGCCTTGGCCAGCTCAACATAGCCCCGCAGGGTTTCTTCCAGTTGGCTCAGAAACTCTGCTAGCTGCCTGTCGTGAAAAGCCAGAAGGCCTAGAAAGTGATGCATGGTACGCACCCCCGCGAAGAACTCCTCCATCATGTAGTGCTGCAGAAGTCCACTTCCCAGGTCATCAGGCTCCACCGTTGGAGTCGGCAGTTTCTCCAGCATGCCACGAACCATCTCGCTGCACTGGCCCAATGTCTGTTCCATGGCGACCAGACGATGCTGTGCCTTGACCATCCAGTACACGGCTGTGATCACAAAGGGGATCACAAGCAAGAGGATCGCCACTGTCTCAGGGCTCCACCCTGTGACCAGGTGAGCGAGAGCTCTCAGCATGCCTTCAAGCACCGAGATCGTCGGGCCCCATGCATGCACCCTCTCGCCCCCCTGCTCCGGGCACATCCCAGCCTCCACCTGCACTTCCATCACGGAAGCTCTTGCCATGTGGCGGCAGCGAAAGGCAACTAAGCTGAGGGCAGGTTTCGGGCCTTGGGGTACGCGCATGTGCGAAGCAAGGTTGTAGTGCGTGGCTATAAGAGACATGTTCGGCATGACAGATGCAGCAAGGGTCACACTGCGGAATTTCCGTTGGTCCCAGTTACAACCGCGCAAAGTCTCTGGAATGTGTTGCACACTGACAGAGAAGGCTCAACAGACAAGGTTCAGTTATGTTTAATTGTCATCAGAAGTTACTCTCAAAATGGGAACCAAGCAATCAAAGAAGTCTAAATCGACCTAATCACTCCAGCCCAATGACAACGTCCGAATTCTCAGAACTCAGATGGCAAAAGCGCACCTCATGCTCTATACAATCAGTGCTTGATGAATTCCCATGCCCGTGCGAGAAATCCTCCTCATCTGAAGACATGCACACATGCACGGAATGGTCTCCCTTAAGCGCTCCAGGAGCCCAGCAGGGAGCCCGGAGCCGGAGCGTCTCCATTAGGCTCAGCTGGACCAATGGTTGCCCGTGCCAGTCCGACATCACACATCGTGCTTCTTTCGCAGCATTCGGAGCGTGGAACCCTAGTTCCACAAGCTGGTGCATGTCAGTTGTGCTAATGCTTGTCCATCCTGCGGGAACCCATGCGACGAGAACGATTCTCTCCACAGCTACACGAATCGGCATGTGCCAGCGAGAACGTCCATCAAATCTGTACGACCGGCCACAAAGGATTTCCCCAGAGCAAAGTAGATCAGGCCCACAGTTCACATGGACCCGTCCCTCCGGACTTTCTACCCATGTTCCGCCAGGAGAATTCGGACTCAGATTGACGAGGAGGGTGGGGAAGTGTGCATTCTGGGAGTCTTTATGAGGTGCCTGCGATACCGTGCGCTGTGCCTGCAGGGTTATAAAACAGTCACTGACAAAGAATTTCCTCACATGCTCCACCAACAATCTGGTAACAGCAGGGAACTTGAGCGTCGTAGTTCGTATCCCTGCTTTGACATGTACGTATGCCCCAACTGCAAAGGAGTCTGACACAAAGAGGAGCTGGCCGACCAAGTCTAGGAGTTCAGCATCTGTCCAGTGGCCTTTGCAGAGCAGACGTCGCGCTGTCAGTTCAAGGTCCATGGTCCCTAGCTGATTTCTACCCAGTGGCTCGCGAGGACACGGCTACAGCAATTTATGACCGTCCTGCCCCCCCCCCTTTCCTTCTCACTGCCCCTGTTCTCCTCACAAGTTGCATGTATTGCACTGTCATGGTCCCAATATCTGCCAGAGCCCATGGTGAACTCGCCTGAAATCATCTCCGAAGAAAGCAACTTCAAAGGCCAAGGTCCGGACCAGATACTTAGTAGGCATCGGCACCGCACCGAACTTACGAACTCTGCTGGTCAGCTCGACCGGCGGTTGCTTGGGTTGGAGCAAGAGTTGTCCTTCCTGCAACCCCGCGAGTGCCCGGATGGCATGAGGCAAGTCGCAGAGCATGTTCATCGGCACCGACTCCTGGAACAGTTCCCTACGGAGGACCTGAAGCGGGACGGCTAGCTTGACTTGGGGCCTGCCGAACGTGGCAAGAAGCTGTACCAGTTTGCATCCAAGTGTAAGGAGCGACATACAGGCTGCCAATGGCAGGTCTAAGGAGGGTTTAACCTGGACACAAATCTCCTTACTAGCGTCGCGACCATTTAGCAGCAAGATAGCCTGACAACTCCCCGCATAGGAGTCATACGTCAGCCACACCAGCGGCGCCCTCATAACACGCGGTTCCCGAATCCACAGGACACCTGTGGGATAAGCTTCCTCCAATACATCTCGGGCCGGTCTAAGGTAGACCTGCTCGAGCTGTTTGGGTCTACGCAAGATCACTATTTGCCTGTCCAGCAGGTAACTCGTCGTTGGCCTGGGCTCTCGATCACGTGGTAGCCAGTGCAGTATCCAACACGGGAGTAGTGCATTCCACTTCTTACGGTCACGAGCATACACCTCCCAAGCTGGACATAGCATCCTATCCGCATCCGAAACCAACTTCGTGTACACTTTCTGAAGTTTCCGAATTGTCAAATCTGAAATCCAGGCAGCTTGTAGTCCACGGCGAAAATTGGAGACCGTGCAATGGTTCAAGAGAAGTCGCATGGGATGCATGATGGGACAGCGAGCAAGGTGACCATGGTACGACCATATCCTACGCAGCCACACCCGCCTCCAATCAGGTCCATCCGTAAGTGAGCACATGAGCTTGACCGAGCGACGACGACTGACCCAGTTATCAACCCAAGGAAGCAGTGGGTCTGTTCCTACACGGCACAAGGAGAGCAAATAGGTATTCTTGCTTCCCTCCACTGATTTCAATGTCCTGGCATCCGGATACATGCACGGGGCAGCCCACTGCCATTTGGAAGTGACATATGTATCAAAAAGCTGCAATCGGATCGACAGAGGAGTAGTGCTGTCGTCCAACAGCTTCTTGAAAGCATAAAAGGTGTTGCTGGTCTTACGCATGAGGTGTGACAGGATCAACTGGGGCCCCGGGCTGTGTCCCAATGGGACTCCTAAGAATACCAGATGGTCCTCTCCCTGCAACGGTTTCGCCATTCGGGGTAGCCAGAGGCCCGGTGTACAGCCCTCGGCATCATTCAGGACTTTACATTTATCAGGGTTCACCACCAGGCCTATCGTCCTCAATGTCTGCACGATTTCGCGAACCTTAATCTGCAGTGCCCTTTCAGAATCCGCAAAGACAATGAGATCGTCTGCGTATATAAGAAAGTGCGGGAGTCCCTGCAGCTTTTCTTCCCACTCCGGGAAAGAGGCAGCAAACCTAGGCAATAACGGAGACAAATACCAAGCCATGATACGCGAGAAGAGATCCGCCGAAAAAGCAGACCCCTGCATGATTCCACGTTGCATTGGGAGATGCTTACTAATCCCTCCCATGCCTACTTCAACCGTGTTGCCAAAGCACAACTTCATGATGCTGAGCGCTTCAGCACAGGGGCTGCACGCCATGAGCCACTGGAAAACTGCCTGGTGCGAGACACTGTCGAAAGCCGCCTTGATGTCTAGCTTAGCCACCTTGGCGGTACGTCCTGTCATGCGTTTAATCAGAGACATCGTGCTTTGCGCCGCCGTAATGCCATCTAACACTTGCACACCTGGTCGACAGGCAAGTTGATTGGCCCCATACGTTGGAGCAAACACTCTTAATCTCGTCATCACTACTTTGGCAAACAGGCGACTCAAGGTGGGCACGAGGCAAATGGGACGCAAGTCAGCTGGCTTATGTGGTCGGGGAGTCTTAGGAAGAAGGACGATTTTCCCCCTCAGCCAGCTGTCCGGTGGTTGGCTTTCTCCTCGCATCAACCTTGTAAAGTACTCCGGGATCCTGCCTCGGACATCACGTGCAACTAAGACCTTAAGTCCCTCACATGTAACTCCATCCAGTCCTGCGCTGACCCCTGGGTTGCACTTAGAGAGTGCCTTCTGGAGCTCCTCCTTCGTAACCGGAGCAGCAGTGACGCTGCCGTGTTTCTGGGTCGCCGTGTCCCAGTGCCCGGGCGAGATGGGGGGATCCTCCGAGGCATATTTCTGCTCATAGAAAGCATGCAGATCACCCACTGCCTTAGTAAGCCCGCCCGCCCTATACAAGTAGGAACCCTCCGTGAATGACCCTGCAGCGCTGCAGCGGAGGTGAGCAATCGCTCGACGGTCGCCTGCCTTAGCTCTAGCCAGTAGGTCCTGCTTGTGTTGTTGTTTCGCATCCTTACGAGACTGGTGGATCTCCTGCATGTACGCCGCCCGTGTGTCCTTATCCTTGGTTTGCTTCCGCCGAGCTATAAGTTCTTTAATTTCAGGAGAATCCGAGTACTTAAGCGACGGCGGTCTGCATGACACTCCCGGCTGCTGCACCGCTTCCTCAATAACAGACTGATCCCAGACCTCTCGATCTTCGAGCTGTGCCCATAAGGCATCGCCATCAACAACCCATTTCCCGCATCTGGTCTGACGGGGTCGCCTCTTGAGGGGAGTCTTACCAACCGATAGGCTTAGGTACATTCCAACCGCATTGTGGTCCGATGGCAGTGCAATTCTGACATCTTCTCGGATCCAGAAAGACACCTCAGTGGCCGGGGCCCGGAACAGAAGGAAGTCGATACTGGAGGACGAGCCTCTAGCGATCCATGTCGGGCCTTGGTCTGGGCTCAGCTCTAATCCTGTCCTAGCCAGAAATTGTCTGTAATGCATCATACCGTCAAAGGAGTCAACCGCCGCGTGAACATTTTGATTGAGGTCATGACCTACCACTACTACCGCATGGGTTGCACATTCGTCCAAAGATTCCTGCAGGCTCGACAGATTACTCTTCCACACCTCCAAGGCATCCGGTCTATGTGCATGCGGAAAATGCATGGCTGCCAAAAACACCTCTCTCCCAAGCATCGCCCCTCTCACACTCACCCCAATCCCATGCACTTGCAGAGCATGCAACTTAAATTCCAATGCACATGCAATCAAAACAACAGCGCAGCGATGGCTCAGTGCCGGATTTGCCACATAAGCCACGAATTCCTTTCCTGCGACCACACAAAAGTCTTCACGATGCTGCTCCAGGGCTAAGCCTTTGACGTCCAAAACTTCTTGTAGGAACATAACATCCACAGGTACTTCCAGTCCAGCAAACAAGGTCGACACACTTTCGATGCCCTTACCATGCAAATTCCATGTCATGCATTGTAAATTAACGACGTCCCTCCCCATATTGGGTTGCGACTGAAGCGGCGATTGTAGGTACGTGTCACCCATCGTCGCCGACGATGCATGCAATGAAGCTCTCCCTCCAACTCCCTAGGCGGCATCATAATGCTGAAGCACTGCATCCTCAGTCACACCCAGTACTGCTGCGACTTTGGTCACATCCAGGAACCACCCTGTTTCATTTCCTCGCGCATCGGTGAGCATCAGTGTGTGGTGTGCTCTCGGTGTGCGGTCGAGGTGGTGCAGAATTTGATGTGTGTTGGCCCACACTTTCCCGCGGAAGTCTCTGTCCACCAGGGCCTCTCCCAGAAATTTCACACACAGAGCTTGTGTAGACAACACTGCTCGGATCCTGGCCCGCTCTTCGGGGGTGCGGTTGCGGGCAAACCAGAACTTAGCTCGGTCCTGTCCCGGTTGCCGTGATGTAAACCCCAATTCCTGGAGGTGTTTCAAGACTGTGGTCTGAAGCTTTCGTTTAGCCCAGATGTCCTGATCCGCATAAACCAACTCAATGCGACAGAAACTGCTGCGTACGTAGGGAATGTAAATGTTCTTAAGGAGAGCTCCCGCCTTGAGCCGATCGAACATGGCGTGGACATCCTCCTCAATCTGTGCTCTCTGCCCATCCCCCTGCCACAAGCTGGAATTCGTCAATGTCACGCTGTCCTGGGAACCTAGGGCTGTCAGTACGCTGCTGACCTGATCGAGGAGTCTGGGCTGGGCTAACATTGCGGGTAGGGGGAGCACTCTTCAACTCTTGGACTTCTTTTTCTAGCTGCCTAAACTCCCTCCGCATCTGTTCGAGAGCCGCTTCTTGGTCATCGGCCCTCTTCGTCAGAGTCTCCTGGCCTACACTAAGGTTCCGAATGCCCCCCTGAATCTTCATAAGCTCATGTCCCGATGTCTGCATCTGCTGGGCCATAAGTTTTTGTGTCTCAACTATGGCCCTGATGTCCCTCTGAAGGTCCGGCAACCATGCTGGCGAGGGGTCCAAATGATACACTTCCGGACCAGGTGCTCCACTGCCTAGCCCCGGAGGTGTCACAGCAGGTCCATGAAAAAGTGGTGGGTGGTGCGACCCTGTACCCGCTTTGTTGGACGAGGATCCTCCAAAAGCAGGCGGTCGTGGCTGGGCAAGGCGTGGCTTCTTCTCTGGACTAGCTGCTTTGAGATGACGTACACTGTCTACGCTACCGGGGCCCAGGGCACGGCTGGGAGGGGCCCCGCCGGGTCCATCTGACGTCCCCATAGCTGCCATAAGAGCCTCTGCAGCAACTGCTGCCTCCACGAGGGCCGTCTCTGAGGGACTGGAATCAGGAATGGGGGTAGTTTCGGCTTTCCTAGTAGTTCGTGCCCTGGATCTACCTCTCCGCTCCCGCTGAGGGGTGTCGGCGTCCAGAAAGGTACCAGAGCCCGGTGCCATGGGCCGCCCTCCTTCCCCTCTCTCCTCAGCCGGCATGGGCACATCCCCACCCGCATCCACCACGCCAATCCCCCCCTCCACCAACTCTCCAGGCGCACCACCAGCATCACCGAAGTGCTGCCCAAAGGGCACGGTTTCCTCATCTGTCATGAATGATGCACGTGTGTGGAGTCAGAGAGCAAAGTGAATGAGAGAGGGTATGAGCGCAGAGGCACCACTCAGGGCTGTGGCAGTTGTGTCGGGCTTGAGGGTATGCAATGCGGGTTTAGGGCTTTTAGGGTTTAGGCCGTTCAAGGTTTAGGCAAGGTCTTGGAACCAGGCTTGAGCCAAAATGGCTTGAGCCAAAACGGGTTCAGGTTTAAGGCTTTCGGGCCCGGGTTTTAGATGGGGCTTGCGCTCTCAAGCTCGGACTTGCCAGATGAAGTTCGTGGTTTGCAGTCGGCCACGAAACGCAGGACTGGGGTCGCACGCACCACTTCAACAAAACAAAATCCCGACCTGACCTGGCAACTCCTCATAAACCCCGAAACCGACTGTAACTCCTCATAAATGTGACCGTGCGCCCTCGACATCAGGCGTTCTCAATGGATACTTTGAAACTGTTGACTTGCAAAATCTCCTGCACTCCTCAAGCCAAACCCGAGATGACAGCGAGCGCAAGGGGATTAGGGAGTTTGTTGGGGTGTTTTTTGCCTCCCACCTAGCTCATTGCAGGGATAACCGAAGAGAACAGTTGAAAGACCAACAGCATTGCCAGAAGGCTTCATTGCACAAACGCTCAGGCTGAAAATGATTCGGAGAGGGCATCCTTCCCTGATACCCAAGGTAGCTTGTAGCGGCGCTGGGAAAATGGAAGCCAGGACCCAGTCTGCTTACATTTCTCATGTGCAGTTGCTCGCATGCAAAGGTGGCTTGTGGCTTACAAACACTGACAACGCAGGCAACGATAATCGATTTAGATTGGGCTGATGGCCGAGAGGGTTTAAGGCAGTCAAGATGAACTAAGAATTCAGATCAAGAGTTATAGAATTCCTGGGCCTGGAGCTTCAGACTTGCAGCTTTTGAGCGCAGAGGTCGGAAGGGGGTTAAAGGCTTAGCAGCTCAACGCTGAAGGCATGGGGCTCTCACGGCCAGAAACTTATGCTTGTAGACCCAGACATCCAAGACATCTGAGCCCTCAACACAGCCCCAAGCCGGCAAACTCCCCCAGCCACCTCCAGCTGAATGATCGCATCCACCAGCTCGTCCTCTTCTAACTCAGCCTGACAGTTCAAGGTGTGGTAAGTAGATACAACCGTGTACAAGCACCGTGGCGATTAAAAAAAGCGACGGCAACCACCCGTGTTATGATGTTGACTCATTCCTAGGATTTGGACTCTGCTGACTCGCATGCTTCATGTCAGGTGCCGGTGCCCAGACCGACCGCAGGGATAAACAATCGGCCGTGTATCAAGCTTCCAGTTGCATTGGCCCAAAGGCAGTTCTTGCACAAGATCTGCACAAAGAAAACAACTAAAAAGACCACAAGTCACGCCTTCCGTAACCAGCCCACTAGCCGCTCGAATCGCTGAAGACCCTCGCTAAAAGGATCACGGCAAAGTGCTTCGGGTGCTCACTTTCAGGCCTTTCAACCTTAAAGGCGTCTTAAAACTCAACGGAAATTCTCGGTGTCGATACAAACCTGTGTACCTGTCAATGCACACACATGTCCATGTGTAGGTACACATACGAAGAGGTAGGTAGGGGTAGGTGTAGGTGTGTCCGTGCCTGTAAGTCCGTATTTCTTCGTGTGAATAATACTACATGCTGGCATGCAGCCGGTATGTATGCATGTATGTACTTACGTTCATATGTATGTATGTGCCTATGTGTGTATGTAGAGATGCACGTATGTATGCATGTACGTATGCATGCATGGGAGTATGTGTCTCCGTCCGTCTGTATCTCTGTCTCTCTGTGCTCTTCCCCTCGGTGTAGCCCACAGTCTAGGTCCCAGGGCCCCCCACGCTTTCTGGGGCTTTGGAAGGACGTGAAACGTTGTCAAGTTTCCCCGATCGTATATAGAAGGTTGTCTCTGAGTCTCTGGTATCTGTCCCACTGTCTGTCCAACTGCCTGCCTGCCTGGCTGGCTAGCTGTCTGTCTGTCTGTCTGTCTGCGTCTCTGCCTCGCTGCCTCACAAAGTAAAATAACTCACACTGTAGTGCCAGCACTGCTTCACAGCTCGATACTATAAGACGATAGATGGCTGGTATCATAGGTTCCTTCGGCGACGTATCGGTGTAAAACCTTGCCGCCCCACCTTGCCTTCCTAAATCCTAGTGCAGCAGCAAATTTCACAGTTATGTAAACTACTGGCCACATCGCCGACAAATCAAATACATCATGTAGTCCTCTCGCTGGATACAAAGATCGCATAAGGTCCACGAGGACAGCTAGAAGAGGACATCCTCAACGTTATTGCGCGTACATGTGCATGTACGTGTGCGTACGTACGTACGTACGTACATATGTCTGCACGTATGTATGTAATATATGCATGAAGGCATGCATGCATGTAGTTTGGTAGGTGGGCGCATGCATAAAATGAAAGCGCGCATGTACATATGTGTGCGCTCACCATTCGGCCATTCTGTGCACCGGTTTCCGTTGCCTGGCTCGGCTCACCCGCTGTGAGTTCCGTGCTGTCCGCCCCGTACTTCAGGCAAACCTGGGAGAAGAGCTCCTCCTGACAGGGCAGCTTTTGGTCGAGTTTGCGGACAAAAACAAGCCACACTTGTCCAAAGTTGCGTGCTTCACATCACGGATGCAGGTGTAGAATGCTCGGTTTTCCTCCGCACATGGCTGGTGGGGAGCAATGCTCGTCGCGAAACTATTTCGAGGCCAAGGAGGGACCTTGTGCCGCCGCAGGTCGCGGGCACCTAGTCGTGCCCAGCAGGATCAGAAGCCAACGTTCTGACAAAAGATGGGCTGCTAGGCTGTGCGGTTTTGCGCAGCCCCAGCAGTCTTCGTTAAGCAATCTCGACAAACGCGCTTGCGGGGCTACCGGCTTTCTCCATAGCATTTTAAAAATGATTTTACTGATCAAGAGAAGGATTACGTTCGATGTCCGCTGCCTGCCCGCATCAGCATCTGCATCATTTTTTTGTACGGAGCTTTCCACAAGCACCGACACCACGGCATGTCCGAACAGCTGCGAAGAGACTCGACATGCCAAGGCGCTACTGTAGCTAGCGATGTTCAGACATTTGCCGGGGCATCATCAGGAAACGGTGCACGCTAGCAACACGACCTTGCGCACCAACATGTTTGCTCGGTACCGTGTATCCCACTAATCAAGTTTGTCCTGTTCCTTTTTCGCAGCAAGCTGTGGCAAGGTTTCCCAGATGTTGTGGAAGCCTATGGGCAGTACAGCCCGTCCGCACGGAATTGAATTATTCGGTTGCAAGCTGCCTGCCTGCGTTTCAAGCGGATGCATGTGGATACCAGCGAACATTCGCGGCTTCAAAACCCAGGCTCACTTGACTCTGTACGTCCTTGACGTCGCCACTGCCGGATACTGCGGAGTGTTTGACCCTTTCGGTCAATGCTCACTCTTTATATGTCACAGCGACAGCGACGAGAATCAGGCGTCTTGCTGGGTCAGCAGAGCTTCCACCAGCGGGATGCAAGACACTGTTGTGCTTGCTGGCAGGCGACAACTTGCATAGATCTACGTGCAAATGACTTTTGTGGAACGTGCGATGGGTTTCAAAAACAGATCCCATCGCAGAGATGATTGAAACAGTCACGTGTTGGAACCTGAGCACACAGGGCGCTCGTGCGCGCTCGCGGGCGAGTGGGGAGCTCAGTAGGACTCCTCCGAGTAGCGTCCTGCAGCCATGAAGTCCTTGAACCACAGCTCGGCTTCGGCATCCGTCTTCGGCGTGGGCCACATGTCCTTCTGGGGCTTCGAGGAGTTCTGACCGTGCTTCACCAATGCCGCCTTGAGCGCTTTCTGCACCGACGGCGTGGCGACCGCTGGCCCACACATGAAGAAGTAGCCACCCTTCTCCAAAAGGTTGTCGCTGATAAGCTCCGGCCGCTCTGCCATCTTATCCGAAACGAAGATCTGCTTCGGTGGGTAGTGGGGCTTGTCGAACTGGAAAGCGCCCACCAGCGCCGTCAAGATGCCCTCCTTCTCGTACATCTTCCACTCCTCCTTGTAGAGGAGCTCCTCCTTTTCATGCCGGCAGCCGTAGAAGACCACCATGGGTCCAGTTTTGATTCCACGGCTCTTCTTGTACAGCTTGTCCTGCATGAAGGAGCGAATAGGGGCAATGCCCGTTCCGAGGCCAACCATGACCATTGGGGTGACGTCGTCCTTCGGGAACTGGAACGTACCGCAGACGACCGCGCAGGGCACCTTGCTGCCCACCGGCATGTGCTGGATGAACTTGGTGCAGGTGCCTGTCTTCACAGCACCGGTCGCCTTGGACTTCCACTGGTTGATGACGATCGTGAACTCAACGGCCTTCGGGCTGTAGCGTGCATCCGAGGCAATGGAGTAGATGCGCGGCTTGATCATGGGGAGCACGGAGATCAGCTGCTCCAAAGGCATCTTCGCACTGGGGTACTTCTTCATGATGTCGAAGAAGGATGGGCACTCGTCGACCAGCGCGGTCCAGGCGGTATTGCCGGCCGGCGAACCTAGTCTCCGGAGTGCCTGGGCATCGGCGTTGTTGGCGAAGCGGGCAAGCTCTGTCACGAAGGAACGAGATGGACGGCCAAAGAGGTCGATCATGTTCGTCAGCACTTGCCGAATCGTCACACGCTGGTCGAAGCAACGACGGTGGCGCTCCGACACATCGCCGACGCACTTGACGCTGATGACCTTGTCGCCATCCAAATCCAGGAACTTGAGTGCTTCATCCACGTCCTGGGGCAAATTCTCTGGGTACAAGGCGACGGCGTCGCCGAGGTCGAAGGGAAAGTCCACGCCCTGGAGGCTCAAAGCCAGGTGGCGGATGTCACGCTCGTACTCGTTGGGAGTGAGGCGTCGATTCTCCGTCACCGTCAGCAGCTGAGCACCAGGAGGGACCATGGGCGCCGTGACGCCTGCAGCATTCTCGTGGTACTTCACCTCGAAGAGAGGAGCCTTTGGCCTACCGTCATCCACAGGCTCAGGGGCCTTGATAGCAGCCCAAAACTTTGGAAGCCAGGCTGTAAAGCCCGTCTCCCACTTGTCCTCGTCCCGGTCATCACCAATGCCCATGTCCAAGATGCGCGTGGCACCTAGCTGCACGAAGCGCTCTTCGATCTTCTTCGCTGCCTCGCAGAAGGAATCAGCATAGGATCGGTCGCCCATGCCAAAGACACAGAAGCGAACGCAGTCGAGCTCCTTGGGTGCCAGAGTCGATGCGGACAGGCTGCTCCAGAACAGCCCGGCGTTCTGTGGGAAGTCGCCATGGCCGCAGGTCGAGCACATCACCACCATGGTCGCTCCAAGCGCAGCGGACTTCAGCTCCTCCATGTCGCTGACCTCATCCAAGTCGCAGGTCCTCCGGACCTGGACCCCCCTCTCCGCGCAGAGGCCTGCGAACTTCTTGGCCACCTGCTCCGTGACGCCCGTGTCCGAGCCGAAGGCGATGAGAAGAGGCTCGGAAACGGAGTTTGCCTGCTTCAAGCCATCCTTCAGAGCCGCCACATCCTGGGAGAGTTCGGAAGCCTTGGCCTTGAGGCTGGCATGGCGCTGCTTCAGGTACGTCTGCAGCTCCCCCTGGAGCTTCTCCGCCACTGCGGGCGAGCTCCTCACGAGCTGGGCATAGCGGTTCTGGCGGTTCAGGAACTTCATGACGTCCCCGGTGACCTTCTTGGAGTCGAGGATGAAGGGGTTGTCGCCGACCTTCGCGAGATGCGGATTGAAGCGGTAGAGGGGCCAGTAGCCACACTCGACAGCATCGCGCTGGTCCAAGGACATCGCGGAGAGACCTGTCTTGAAGAAGCGGTGCTCAATGCACGGGGCATAGCACATCAACAAGGCCGGCCCATCGTACTTCTCGGCTTCGGCGAAGGCCTCAACACACTGCTTGTAATTCGCACCAATGGCCACCGAAGCAACATAGACGTGCTGGTAGGCCATTGCCATGGCCCCGAGGTCCTTCTTTCGCTGATCACGGCCGGCCTGAGCGAACTTGGCCACAGCTCCCATGGGCGTGGACTTCGACGATTGGCCACCGGTGTTGGAGTAGACCTCGGTGTCCAGCACCACGATCTTCACGTTGTTGCCGCTGGCAATCGCGTGGTCGATGCCACCATAGCCGATGTCGTTGGCCCAACCGTCTCCGCCGAACATCCACATCGAAGGCTTAGTGAACATGTCTTTCAGGCGGATGAGCTCGGCAATCTCCTTGGCCTTCCCCTGCTCGGCATCTAGAAGAGGCAGGATCTCATCGCTCAACCGCTCCGAGATGATGCCGTCCTCCCCAAACTCCAGCCACTGCTCCAGCAGGCTCCGCAGCGCGACGCTCAGGGACTTCCCGGCCCTTGCGAGAGCGGCCTCCACGCGGTCACGCAGCTGGCGGCGGCGCTGGCGGACGTGGATGACCTGTCCCAGGCCGTACTCTGCGTTGTCTTCGAAAAGCGAGTTGCCCCAGGCGGTGCCCTTGCCTGACTCCTTGTCCGTGGCATAGGGAACCCAGCCGGCAGTTCCTCCCCAAATGCTGCTGCAGCCTGTGGCATTGGCGACAATCAAGCGCTTGCCGAACATTTGCGTCACAAGCTTAGCATAAGGCGTCTCGCCGCATCCTTCGCATGCACCCGAGAACTCCAGCAAAGGCTCCTGATAAAAGAGCTTGGCTGCGACTTCCACTTGCTAGTCTGAAGTCTTTTGTGGGCTGTCTACAGTGGTTAGGCTCTAGAATCTGCCCGTGCCAGAGATACCGGTGCTGCTGAAAACACTCTCCAGTAGAATTTGAGTGCAACAACAAAGAGCCGCATGGCATCAGCTCTTACGACGATTAGACACGGCACTTTCCATACCTGCCGTGATGTTGCCATGATGCTCTGCCAGTGACCAACAGAGTCTACTGGCCCCCTGCCGTGCACGATATTATATTATATTACATTATTTTATACTATATTATATTATAGTATTATAGCATATGATACTTTTACAAGCAGAGGCTCCTGGAACTGGGAGCCCTTGAGGGTATTGGCATCGAAGCGCTTGCCGCGGTTCGGAATCGTCATGGCGTAGTCCCAGTTGTCACCGTGGCCCTTGTCGAGTGACTCCACGCGGGGTAGCATGGACAAAGCTCCAACTGGACAGGCGTTGGTGCAGACCTCGCAGCCAGTGCAGTCGTTCGGAGAGGCTTGGATGCGGAAGTGCAGTCCGGCATAGGTGTTCCCACCCGTGGCCTTGCGTGCATCAAACGCTTCGGGGGCCTTCTTGAGCTCCGCATGTGACAGCAGGAAGGGCCGGATCACGGCATGAGGGCAAATGGCACTGCAAACGTTGCACTGGATGCACTTGTCCATGTCCACCACCGGCACGGACTCGGCCACGCCGCGCTTGGCGTAGCGCGTCTGTGAGAGCGGCACGCAACCATCGGCCTCGACCTCACTGACCTTCAGCTCGTGGCCTCTCATGGTTTGGACCTTGTCCAAGACCTCCGTGACGTAGGTCGGCGGGGTCTCCACACGGGTCTTGGCGTAGACCACATTGGGATCCGACTCCAACGCCGCCCAGGCGGAGGCGTCGTAGTCGACGGTGCGCAAGGCCTCGATGGCCGCCTCCACGGCCTTGATGTTCTGGTTGACGATCGCGTCGCCCTTGTTCTTGTAGGTCTTCTTCACCGCGTCCTTCAGCAGAGACAGGGCCTGCTCCGTGGGGAGCACCCCCGACAATTCGAAGAAGACTGCCGTCATGATGTTGTTGATGAGCTTGCCCATTCCCGTTCGCTTCGCCACTGCACTGGCATCGATGGCGCTGACCTTCAGCTTCTTCTCCCCAATGATCTTGCGGAAGGGCGCCGGAAGAACGGACGTCAGCTCTGCATCGGACCACGGGCAGTTCAGGACCAGAGTGCCTCCATCCGCCAGCGGGCCCAGCATCAGATCCGCGAAGAAGCTGAAGATGTATTCCTTCTTGTGGATGGCCAGGTAGTTGCAGCCAGCATCGATGAGGTAGCTTCCCTTGATAGGCTCCGGCCCAAATCGAAGATGCGAGATCGTGACACCGCCTGACTTCAGCGCATCGTACTTGAAGTAGCCCTGGGCATAGAGGGGCGTGTTCTGCGCAATGATCTTGATGGTGTTCTTGTTGGCGCCCACTGTTCCATCACTACCGAAGCCCCAGAAGATGCACTGCTTCGTGTGTGAGGGGACCGTCTCCATTCGGCCAAAGGGGAGGGAGTAGTGGGTCACATCATCCTCCAAACCCACAGTGAAGGGATGCTTCGGATTTCGGGAGCGGAGGTTGTTGTAGATGGCATCCACCATGCCCGGCGTGAAGTCCTTGCTGGAGAGGCCGTAGCGGCCGTTGATGACGTTGGCCGAGCACTTCGCCCTCTGAAGGGAGGTGCAAACGTCCAGGTACAAAGGCTCACCGTGGGCCGCAGGATCCTTCATCTTGTTGCACACGGCCACTGCCCTCAGGGATGACAGGTTTGGAAGGGCTGCCAGGAAGTGCTTCTCGCTCCAGGGCCTGTAGAGATGGACGTTGAGGCAACCGCAGTCCTTGGCCTTGTCACCCATCTTGGCCAGGTACTCCTCCACGACCCCGGCACCGGAGCCCATGAGGATCAGCACATACTTGGCACGAGGGTTCCCCACGTACTCAAAGAGGGAGTACTTACGTCCGCTCAGCTTCTCGATCCAGAGGAAGGCTTCCTCGACGACTTCGGGCACATCCAGGTAGTACCTGGGCTCAAGGAATGTAAAGTGAGTTACGATCATTATGACAGTAAATAATATGGTTTCTCTATTTTCTCTATTATGGTAACTTCAATTTATACCCGCTCAGAAGAGCCCAGGTACTTGTTCGCGGCCTCCACGGCCTGGAAGTAGATGTCGTCGCACTGCGCCGTGCCCCGTGCGTGGGGGTGGTTGGGGTTCAGGGCCCGGGAGCGGTGGGCATCGATCTCCGGGGCCAGGAGCTCCACGACCTTTTGAAAAATCTCCTTCGGGTAGGCCTGGATCTTTTGGATCTCATGCGACGTGCGGAAGCCATCGAAGGCATGCACGAAGGGCACCCGGGAGCGGAGCGTGGCAATGTGCGAGACCAGCGCGAAGTCCAGGGCCTGCTGCACGGTGCTCCCGAACAAAATTGCGAAGCCCGTGGAGCGCACAGCTTGGATGTCGTTCTGGTCGCCGAAGATGCTCAGGGCCTGTCCCGCCACAGCACGGGCGGCCACATGCATGACGCAGGGAGTCAACTCACCGGCGATCTTGTACATGTTGGGGACCATCAGCAAAAGCCCTTGAGAGGCCGTGAAGGTCGTGGCAAGCCCACCGACCGCCAAGGCACCATGCATTGCACCTGCAGCACCTGCTTCCGACTGCAGCTGGGTGATCTTCGTCACCTGCTCAAAAGCATTCTGGACGCCACCTGCCGACCAGGTGTCACACATCTCCGAGAGGAGCGTGGACGGCGTGATGGGGAAAATGAACGCATTGTCCGACATCTGGTAGGCAACCCAAGCGGTGGCCGTGGCGCCATCATCGGGACCCCACTTGCCCTCGCCACACTCGGCACGAGCAGCCTCCAATACGGCTGCGATCCGTGGGTCGAGTTGAACTTTCTTCGGCTTCTCCACAGGGGCGGGGCCCTTTGACACGGCATAGGCCAGGGCCGCCCCTGCGGCTGCACTCACAACCCCCACAGTGGCAACCTTCGCAAAGGAATCGGAACTTGCCATCCTTGGGAAACGGGCGGAGGTTTTGCGATGCGAAAGGATCACGAGACTTGAGCAAAAAGGCTTGTGCCAAATGGCTGCGGAGGATTTCAATTTTTGGAACTGACAGACGTGGAGCTCCGGAACCCTCAGCCATCTTCAGCTCAACCTTCAACCAGCGGTATAGCAACCTTTAAACCAACCAAAGCCGTTTTAGTTACAGTAACCCGCACAGTAGCCCATGTAGCAGCCCTTCTGGCAGCCCTTCATATCGGCAACAGACCTGGCCTCTCGGCCCTCGTACTTGGTGAAGATGAAAGCCAGGTCGCCGAGCCTTTGCTCCGAGGTCAGGGGCTGTTTTGGGTTCCCGCCACCTGGGAGTTTCCGAAAATAGGGGGATCCTAATACTAAAGCAGTACCTTAAATAGTAGGATTCTTGTTATAAGAACCCCAAGATAAGGTACCCCTAATTTTTGGAAACTCCCACCTGGTGTCTTCTTTGGGCTCCTTTCAATTGTCTGGCCAACCATCTGAGATTACATAGGCCGTAGGCCAGGAGAGGATGGGGAAGTTGGGGTTTGGGGTTACCTGGTTCAAGAAGGAATGCCAAGGCTGTGTGATGGAACCTAGAGTGTCTGCTAGGCCATGGTACAATCCGATGGCCCAAAAGTTAAAGAACATGATCGGATATGAGATGTATCATGCCATATAGTATAACTACAAAAAACTACTACAAGGTAGCGGTGTGATCTGCCCGGTACTGACATGATATAGCAAGCTCAATGTACTGGTAGCAGAACATTACTGGTATGAGGTGTTGGGTCTGAAAGATGTTGAGGCACTGCAACGCATCAAATCCGCGCCCCTTTCAGGTCATCTGGCGTGTGATGTTCTTGCCCGGCGCCTGCTATCAGATCACGTGACCCAGCATTTCTGGGACGCTGGATGACATCAACAAGTGCGCTGTGGGATGATGCAGCCTAAACAGAAGATGCAACGTCGTGATCCACACCAAACCCAAGTCAAACCCCGAACCTTCTGCAAGCGAATTGCATGGCGGGGTTCTTCTCCTGGTACACCTTCCTCAGAGTCCACCCACACTTGGGGTTCCACAGGCAGTACAAAGTTACCGATACGCGCAGTGATGCTCACAATACCAGGCCAGAGAATTCTGCGAGCTGTTCATCAAGTACCACAAGCTCAGGTTGTAGTTCTTGGGATCAAGCCTTGGGCTTAGATGGAAGCTCAAAGGTCGCCAAGGCTTTGGGCTTTTGGGCTCTGGTGGAACTTCATTTGCATCAGAAGTCCAGTTTAACTGCTTTGTTTGGTTTCAGAGCTCTCGGAAGCTCTATCGGCTCTTGACGGCCATCTCCCGACAAACTGTGTCAAAGATCCCTCTGCTGACCCCAAAGTTCCTGTTTCCCTTATGTAAGGAACTGGTGTGATTGCCTCTGAACTGTGGGATTTTGAAGCCTCTTTCACTCCTTCGCCCTTGGCTCTGAAGCGGCAGTGTCGTTGCTGCCAAGGCTCGTCACGAGGTGCCGATATTGCTGCGCAGAGTATGTTCCCGTGGGTTTCCGAGACCTCAAGACCGTGTCGACCAGGCTGTCTCGATTCCTCTTAGTCTTTGATTCATTGGGCTTAGCGGCTTGGGGGTCGCCACCCGCGCCGGTGCACACCCACGGCTCTCGCTTGTCCTTCCGCAGACCCAAAGTAAGGGGTAGAACCCACTCCTTCCCCCTTACGGGAGGGCCCGGACGTGAAACCCCGCCCAAGGCTGCCAAAACACACGCCGCCTACAGAGGCCTCCGTCTTTCTGTCTCTCTGCAATTCTCCCTCTATCTCCCCAAGTCGCTCGGAATTTACACAGGTGAGGGACTTGAAGCTTCACATATGATGAGGGCTCAAAACCCACCGGATCTCTGACATTTGCGACGAACTCTCAAGTTGGATCCGCGAGGCGTGGGAGGCGTGGGCAGCGCACTTTCGTTATCTGGTGGGGCCATGGCCGCATTGTCAGCTTTTCGGCTCCTTTGGAGCTTTCGGGTTTGGGCACGAGACTCGAGACCAAGATTTCAGGGTGGTTCGGCAAACGGCCTGGGGCAAAACGCGTGTCTCTCTTTCGGAGCAACTTGCATGGGCCAGATGCACTTTGGGCCAGAAGTTGCTGCGGACATCGTATTCCCACTGCGTCCACGAGGCGTGCAGACATGACTAGCGCCTGAAAGCGCCGCAATGAGCTGCACAGAGAGGACTGCAGAACTGCTCACCTCCATCTGTGCTGCAGAAAAGCGAAGCATCCGTGCAACAAAACCGAGGGAGGGCGCACCAAGTAGGTCGTTCTCCTACAAGGTACACAATCCAAAGCACACCAAGGCTTCGAACTCATGAGAGCAGTCTCCAAGTCCCGCAACACCACTCTAAACCAGACGCTAGATCTATCTTAGACCCTATACCGATGGTCCTGCAGCATCTGCCGGAAGAGATCGTTGCCTCCTAACCTGCAGCGCTGCAATGCACTACGTGGCAACAGTAAGAGCCACAACGTGCCCATGCAACTCGGGTTTAGTTATAGGACCAGTCTGGGAATGGATGGAGGTCAGTACGGCTCTGAGAGAGCAGAGGCCTGGTCTTAAAAAACCACGTCATGCACGAGAGTACTGCATCTCTCTGCGCCCCGACGCGATGAGCGTACACCAACAAAAAGCCGGCGCCCGAGATCGGGTGCCCTTCTGACTTCTGGTGTGACACAAAACCTCCACCATCGACTATCAGGGCCAAAAATCCTGATTCCCGGTACCGCGTACTGATAATTCAATCCCTCTTGGGAGCGCACTCCATTGCTCGAAGCTGGTCCGGTTTCCACGCGTCCATGGTCCTCGGAGGTGGATGATTTGTTGCCTTCCGGATGTTTTGTGTTCCATGCTTGAGGACGAGTGATGACGAGTGCTATCAACACCCAGTCGGTGGCTCTCTTCATACTTGGCTTCCAAATCCATGAATACGCCTCCAGACAAAATCAGGGCCCAAAACACCTAGCAACCAGCACACTCTTTGCTGTTTTATTCCTATGCAGGACGGCACCTACGAGTTGACGGGGTCTGCTCACTGCTGAAAACCCGTGACGGATCATGCTCTGACTCTAACTATTCTGGACAAAGAGTGGGACGTCAGCCCCCTCCGGGCCCCATGCAAAGAACGCACGAAGCTGACGTGGACTCCGAGGCCCCGATGCCTGCGCAGTGGATTCAGCGACTCGACGAGGAGCATTCAAAAGACATAAAACGTGGCTGACGGATGCTGTAGCATGACAACCTGAACAAGTTGACAACCTCGGCCGGCCCATGTTTTGATAGCCCTCCATGACTCTATGGGAACCTTAGTCATCATGACATGCGTTGTGGTGGCTCTGCGGTGATCTTCGGTGAGCGCGTGACAACATCTGAAAGGCTGAAAGATGGTGGAACAGCGGCTGCGGATTGCTGGACTCAAATGTACTTCAACCCCTGAAACTTGAAGTCATGCGGGAACGGGAAGGCCTGCCCGAACAGGAGAGGCCTGAGAACACGCACTGCTGTCCGATTGAAAAAATGCCAATAAAGGTAACACCGTGACAATTCTGAAGGCTTCCATTATGACCAGACGCAATACGCAACAGAAAAACCTGAAAGAAGCAGACTTGTGTCTGGGGAAGGACCTGCACAAAGGGATCGTGAAGCAAAGAACTCATTACGGAGTACAGCCCAGTGTATTGCTCCCACCCAGGAGCATGGGCGTCCCAGTCCTTAACCCTCAGACGGCCCGGGCCTCAGCATAACAACATCGAAGCTACCCTAAGATCAAAAGCAACAAAACCCCGAAACCCTAAAACTCTGAACCCTCAGCCGCATCAAACCCAACAAGCACATGGCTGCTCGGGCGCGGGGCAGAGGAAAATTCCGTTGGACACCTGGGCATTCACGTATGGTTCGGGTGCGGGATGCATCAACCCTTTTGTACTGGGTTCTGTCCAGAGTTCTATGAGGGTGTTATGCGTGCTCTGTAAGGACTTTTTTGTGGACATCCTTCTGCAGTTTACCAGTATTGGCAAGTGGACTGGCTGGGCTTGAATTTACTGCTCCGCGGCAAAGGCGGAAAATGTAGCTGTTGGGACACATTGAAAAACCTCGACTTTGCAAAGACGCTCACGTGGCAGTAGCGGGGGACTGTTGCAGACTATCCGCGACCATTCTCGCAAAGAATGGTACATGACATGAGATGAGCCAATAGTTGAAGCTCACGTTGCAGAGTTGTGCACGTGCTTCTTTGCAAAATTTCATCTGTCCGCATAGTCTTTGTATTTCCACATCGCTATCTAGCTGTCCATCTGCACATATGCCTACGTCTTGAGCCTTCAGCAGAGCACAATGCTACACCCGAACCCTCACCTGCGGATCCTAAACCAACATTTAGCGCGATGCGACCGGTGCATTTAAGATCTCCGAGACCGCCACAGATGCCCATTCGGGACGGTCCGCATTGCAGTCTAGGCCTCACACTGGGCACATGGATGCAGTCCAATTTCATGTCGTCTGCTCCACCCTTCCACCCTTCCCTCGTTGAAGCTTGCTCCGCCCCAAGCTTCGAGGGAATGCTCCGCAGCACGCCGTGCTTCCACGGGGAAAACCCTGAGGCTCGCACACTTGGCATCCGCCGGACGCTGACGCCGGACAGCCTGCCCGGATCAAACGACGAGTGCAGGGATCCCGAATCAGTCGATTAGCACATGCCCAAAGTAGATACGAACTGGGATGAACTCGCAGACAGCACCTCGCGATTGCATATATGTGCACAAATGCCGATCGGCTCAGTGATGTGCAGTCTTCGTGTTTCAACCCCCCGGTCGAGCCTCAAAGAATTGGCTGTTGTTCATGGCAAACACAGTTTCCCGAAGCTAGACTCTAACTACTTGTCTTGCAGACTTGGCTCTATGTGTTGAAAGCTGAAAAAGAGCTGGATATGCCACATTTGGGGGGAACTGCGATTGACTGCTCACCGCTTGCTCCGCACGGCGCTCCGCTCCTAACTAACCCAGCTGACGGCGGCGTCCCAGCCTGACATGAGCTTGCCTCGCACCCCTGTGCCCCTTGAGCAGCCGACACAACCCGTCCCACCTTCGCATGCTGCAAGTCAACTTGTGTCAGATTGAAACTTGGCGCCTATCCTGGCATCATCTTGCATCTGTGCTGGACTAGTCAGAACACTTTTCATTGCAAGCCGCTCGCTGGCATCCATCAGCTCGCCTGTCACTCCCGTACGAGCTTTCCCGCACGTCCTATTGGACCCTGGGGCCTAGGGCACCTGGACGCGAGGACGAGCTTCTGGATAAATGGGGTTTGAAGTACCCGTGGGTTTAGATTTCTCGAGATTCATTGCTTTTGCTTCGAATAGGGCTGGTGGGGACTCCAAGCGCCTGCTGTTCTGAAATCCGGGAGCATCCGCAGCCCGAAGGCTAATTGCACCTGGTGTGCGAGCGACGCGCAGAAAGAAAGCATGGTCAGGGCAATCATCCTTGACAAGGTCAAACGGGGATGAGCTGTGGCAGGCAACATGCATGGCAACGATGGCCTCATGTGCACGTGAATTTCGTCGAGGCACATGTCCCGGCCATGCTAGGGTACTCCCGAACCCTCTCTTGCACAGGAGTCACGTGGAGGATACAAGGATTGCCGTCGTTCAACCATACATGCACGGTTATGCCAATGCATGAAAAACAGCAACATTCATGCCACGGCACGGACGGAAAATCAAGCATCGAAGAAGGCAACATATAAGTCGTCGCACAGAAGCTGGGTGGCATACACCATCATACACCGCTTACAAGGGGTGGGTGAAACTGTTATAAACATTGGTGCGACATGTTGGAACATGCAAGTGACCTTGGACCTGCCCAAGAACTACAAGATCATCTAAGACATAGTAAGCCGGGAACAAAGACATGAGACGCATACTGTCGCAAGACACATCACCAAACTACATAGGCCACTAGCAAATACTGGAGAAGATGCTTGTCCTGTGTTGGGCTTCAACCCTGATGCAGGGGAGGGTCCGGAGTCCGTAATGCTATGCTGGTCGCAGCTCCCCCGGGCCAGGTACAGCATCGGGAGTGGCACGTGCGCTTGAGTTTCTGTGCTTTTCACCCACCGCCTAGGCCTAGCTGACAGGGGACGTCAATAATGAAGACCACTAAGTGGGTTTTCTTGGGCGAAGGGGTTAATATGCGTTGCCTCTGGCACAGGCTTCAGGATCGAACCTTTCAAACTATAGCCCCAAACCAAACCTCGGCTATCGCTGTGACGAACCCACGAGTCGAGCTGCCTTGTGCCCAAGAGGAGTCTGCAGGTCTCGTTTTTGCACTGCAAAACTTCTCTTCCCTGCCGAAGGAAGCACCGCCAGCATCTCTGATATTTCCAGGTGCATAACTGCAATTTCTAGTTCTGGTGCCGTGCAATTGGACGAGCATGCTAGAGGTGCTAGGATGAGACGGCTAGACAATAAGTGCCATTATGCCGATGGAACCTGTTTTTCACCACGGCCTGCTAGCTGGCCTAATGAGGGTTTGCGCTTCGGTACAGCTAGACTCTAAAGGAAACAAGTCTACAGTCTAACAGTACCCCATCCTTCCGTGCATAGATACGTGTTTTACATTAAATTCAATATTTAATGTGATATTATAAAAAATACTAAAAAAAATGTATGTATATGTGTGTGTGTGTGTATATATATATAATACTAATACTTAGACTTATACCAAAACTAAAACTAATACTAATACCAATACCAATACCAATAATACCAATACCAATAATTATAGGAGCACCCAGAGCAGCCCTCCTTCAACTTGCGGTCTTCGACTACGGCCACACTCAGGGCCTGCGCCAGAAGTCTGCTTCCGTTGACACCTTCGGTCTCGCTGAGTGGTTGGGTCAACGAGTTAGCTCTCTCACACTAGACATACCAGATCAAGTTCTTTCCGCTGGCCACGCACATGAACATGTCACAAACCAGCGTGCCCACGTTTACTTTGCCACGAAATTTTACAAGCGTTGAAGCTTAGCTGTGATTCAAGATCGGGTTGGTTGCCATCTCGTCACAGCAAAGGTTCCAAAGAAAACAGCATCACAGGCTTTGCTCGGGCTACTGGCCTCATGGCCTTTAGGATCATGGAAGAGCACAGGATGCAACAAGTAACCTGAAAACAACTGTTTGTTTGCAAAGCCTTGTGTGAACAGTTGGCATGTGAAGTCTTGGACAAATGAAGCCTTCAAGCCACGACTCGAAATGAAATACTGCACGAATTATGCAGGTCAAAGACTGGTTCAAGGAAATGACTGTACAAATTGACGATCCCTGTCGTTCCTTGTGGCAGCTGCGCCAGCTTACTCTGAAGCATACAGCCGCTTCACCGGCTTGCGGGGGGCAAAGACTTGATATGAGCAACTTCCCCTATACCACCGCTCAACTGCCTAGTCTCTTGTGCCTTGAAACAAAGCCCTGACAATGCAAACGCTCGCTTTTCAGAGGACATCAGTCCAAGCCAACTTCCTCCCGATATCGCTGAAGGTTGATCTCGCGCTTGAGGCTCTCGCTCGTGTCCGGCTCAACATCGCGGCCCACCAAGTGGCGGCGCTCCAACAGCAGCGCATTGCGCTCCTGCTCAATCTCCAGCAGACGCTGGTCCAGTTGGGACAAGCGGTCCTTAACGACGGTGTCCTCCATGGGTGTCACCGGCCGCTTGGAAGGCTTTCGATACTTCGGCGAGGCCACCATGTCCTCGCCCATCTTAGCATCTCTTTCGCGCTTGGCCTGAACCTCTCGCCACATGCGCTTGATGAACATGGGGTAGTCCGTCAAGGACAAGTAGTCATTGAGAGCATCAGACTGCATTGCCGCCTCGATGAACTCTCGCTCGAAGGTTTTGGCTTGCACAGCACCCCAAAGCATCAAAGCATTCTGCATGGTCAACTCCGACTCTGCCTCGAACCTCTTGTAGATCTCATACCATTCAGCCTTCTGCTCTCCAGCTCCTGCTTCACCACTGGCCAGGTCTTCAAAGAAGCGGCGATGCTCTGCGAAGAAGCGCTCGGCAAAGGAGTTGCACTCGGAGGAAACGAGTTGGATGACATCACGCTGTCGGGTAGTCATGTTTTGCGGTTTGCGAGGCGGCAGGTGCCTATGGGCTCTTCAGGATCGAGACTCAAACTGCTGCAGCAATGAAAGCACAAGTACGACCGACTGTCCTGACAGTCAGTGACAACTGCTGGTTGGCAGGAACTCCGTCACGACGAAAGGCTCCGCGCCTGTGTCGCTCAGCCGATGAGCTCGACCTGCGGTTGCACCGGCAGAACCTGCGGTGGCCTTGGCCCAGGCAATGTGCGCATGCATACATTCGCAGTAAGGTTGATGCCGATGAGACAGATGATCACAATGATAACAGAAAAGTGAAGAGGCGTGTTGTTGCAAACATGCTGGCTTTGGCATTCGTACTTTCTTGCAGCCTGTCACGGTAGTGTCATAATTACTAACCATGCCAAGAGTAAGAAAACTATTTATATTCATACGAACGACCACAAACAGGGTCACCGCAGTAAACATCATGGCTGCAATGACGAAACGAAGTGCGAATAAGATTGACGGCGACCATATCATACCATCGTCAGCAGCAGCAACAGCGGCGTCATCGACCTCGTCATCGCCACCATCACCATCATCATCATCAACTAGTACTAGTACTAGTACTACTTCTTCTACTACTACTACTGCTACTACTACTGCTACTACTACTGCTACTACTCCTGCTGCTGGTACTAGTACTAGCACTGGTACTAGTACTAGTACTAGTACTAGGACTTGTACTACTACTACTACTACTACTACTACTACTACTACTACTACTACTACTACTACACTACTACTACTACTACTACTACTACTACTACTGCTACTACTGCTACTACTACTGCTACTACTACTGCTACTACTCCTGCTGCTGCTGCTACTGCTACTGCTACTGCTACTGCTACTGCTACTGCTACTGCTACTGCTACTGCTACTGCTGCTACTACTACTACTACTACTACTACTACCACTACCACTACGACGACGACGACTACTACTACTACTACTACGACTACTACTCCTACTACTACAACAACTACTACTACTACTACTGCTACTACTACTACTACTACTACGATTACTACTACTAGCACGACTACCACACGGCCGAAGATGTTTGGCATTTTACGTAGTTCCTGGTTGTGGATTTGCACACGTGCACAAATCGACCAACTCTTCTATTGACAAGAGGAGTCAATATGAAACGATGCTGATGTCAAAAACGGTAATATCAAAAAAAATGTTGGAAAACAGTCGATCTCGTAACGATCATCACCGCCAAAGTTAGCGTCCACGCGCACACACACACAGAGGCAAAGCTTCTCGTACAAAGCAGTAGATAAATGCCGGCTGACTTTTGCTGTTGGCCTTTGGCTTCGTGTTCAGTCGTCAGCAGATGCAGGAAGGCAGGGTGTAAGGTTTCTGGGTCTAGGGTGCCTCGGTTTCAAGAGTCCGGCATATGCAAAACCCGTAAAGCCCGATCCGCAAACACTCGAGCGTCGCCCATCACCAACAGAGCTTTCCGTGGTGTCGCAGAAACGATAACCCTCACGGGGAAGTAAGGCGCAAAGTCTTCAGAAGCCCTATCTCTCCATGCAATTCAGCAATTCCGCAAGAATGCTTCCTGCCTCATACGCTACAAGATTCCAAAGAGTGGCCGAAAGCATCGAGGGACGGGCAGCTTCTCACCCCGAAGCAGCCGCACCGCCGCCTTTGCTTGGTCCATAGTTAACCTGAGGCTTGGAATGCGCCTTGTGGGCTTCATTTCAGATTGTGGGGCTGCTTCGCTACCTGCTCCGATGCAGCTTCGTTGGAGCAACCACGAGCTCAAGCGGCCCTCCCACTCCGGCATCTGGTGCTTAGAGTGCGACCCGATCTTCCGATGTGTCTGCACCTGTCTGCGCAGGGATCGCAGGGCGATCTGGCTCTATATGGAAGGCCTAGAGACCGTCGACTCCAACCCCGGCACAACATCGCCACATCCGACCCGACGCCCTTGTATAACCCTAAGCTCGTGAGGGGAAAAAGCTTCTGGCTGCGGCACAATGCGGGGAGCCATGAGAAGGGTTCCGGGCTTCCTGTCCTGGCATTGAAGCAGCGTGCGGGGTTGAAGCTCGGGAATTGGGGTTCACAAATGTTCGCAGTATGAGAGTTCACCAAACTAAGCAGGTTGCGAGGGTCTGCAGCGCAGAAGATGAAAACCTAGCCAGTTTCCTTCCATGGTTCGTCTACTGCGGCCTGCACCGGGTCTTCTTAAAATCCGGATGCCCTCGTAGTGCAGCAGCAGTAGCACTTGTAGTGGCAGCAGCAGCTGCAAGAATCGCGATGACTACAGTTCATACTACAGTTCAGCAACAGCAGCCGCAGCTGCAAAAAGTAGTACGTAGCCCTCTCCAGATCTGCATCGGCCATGTTGATGTCGTCGATGACAACCTCAAGCCATCTTCGTCAAGCAGCAGAGAAAAATCTGGACTCTGTCTTCTGACTTAAAATGAAACCGTCGTTCATGGATTCAGGGAGAAAGGTGGATGTGTTCCCGAACACACACGAGCTTGTCGCACATGTCGCTGGGTTGGGCTGCACCCGCCCAGCAGCTGCTGTCCTCAAAATTCGCAACCTCTCCCTTGCATACCTTCACGGCAAAAAGCTGCCCCTGGCAACTTTAGGCCTAGGCGTGGGGCGTGGAACCACCACCCGTGCACGACTTGTCAAGGGAAGGTGGGGTCAGAGATGCAGACTTCCCATGGAGAGACTCGAACGAAAGAGTCAAAGACACGCCCAAAACAACAGTCTCCCACAAGGCTGTTAGAAAGGCAACTGCAACCAAGCTGATTCAGGAAACGGCGCAATCGAGACCTCAGCCATGAATCTGGCTCAACACTTGAGCGCCGCACCCACTGTTTGACTTGGGGGTTGTTGCCTTGGCTTGCTCAAAGATGTCCAAACACGGATCTCAATCATTTGGGGCTCGGGCGGGTGTAGAGTTTAGCACTTCGTAAGATTGTAAGACTCGAGATTCAGGCTCACAATTCTTGGGATCTAGGTTTGAGAGTTCAGGATGCAGGATTTAGCACCAGCGAGGCCACCATTCGTGTCACTACTGCTGTCGCTGCAGAAAAAATAACAATCATTCTTGCATTGCTGGTAGTGTTGCTGGCATGGTTGATTGTACTGTTGGCATGGCATACATAACCATACCACTACGACTACGACCATTCTGCATACCTTTCATTCCAAAGCCATTCGACATCGCGAGCCTCAAATCATCCTGCAACGCTTAACTTTGACCGTCCAGGCCCCCGGCTCAACCACTGGCTGATCTCCCGAGCACGGCGTTCGGTGAACGCCTCTCGAGCCGAACGCCTCTTCCCCTATTTCTTGGACCTCAAACCCTTTTTGCTGCAGGCTTGCACGCAAGGACGCCTGGTAGTGTGTGAACCCCAAACCCTACACCATCAACCCTTGGTGCACATCGATTCAGGTCCCTGCACCCCCTCAACCGCAAAGGGCAAGTTAGATTGCATCCCAACTCCTGGCTTAAGTTCGGATTTAGGCGGTCTGAACATGTGCTGCATGTTGACTGAACCGCCGGATGCCTAGCAAACCTGGTTACATCAGCGGCTTCACTGAAATAGCGATGGTCGGAGTCATGGCCTGCCTGCTGCTCGCCTACATATCATCACTCGGGCTGAAACGGGCCACGGCAAGCTGTGCACGGCAATGGCCCCTAACCCTCCCAAGAAAAATTCAGAGCTTCTTCATAGCGCCCTCGTGCTCTGCCCCTGCTCGACTACGTCATCAGGGAGTATTGCCCTTCGGGCTCCTTCCGCTTCCAGAGACGCAAAGCCCATGCCAGGCACAGGGCCCCCAAGAGCGCCGAGAGCCCAGCCAAGAAAGCCGGCTCTCTCGAAGACTGCGTCCTAAGGCCCAAATCTTTGGGGCCCGACTGTAGCACTGCGGGCGGTGCAGCCGCCCAGTCGGAGTGCAAGGACACAAATCGTCGGAGCATCATCAGGGCCACCTGGAACAGGGCAGAAGATGCCTCTAAGGCCCCATCCCAGGGATCGCGGCTGCACACCCAGGTCCCGACCTCCGGCTGATCCTTGGGGACCAGGTGACCCGACTCGAACACTTGAAGGAACCTCAGTCTCGGGCCACTTCGGGAACACCCACCATTGAAAATCAACCGCACAGGGTCCGCGAACAAGCTAACATATCCGAGTTGATACGATGATACCCTGCATGTCTGCTAACCCCAAGTCGCGACATACATGCAAGCCTCCCCTCAATGATGCTGATTAAGATGATGCCGGCTCTGCCTTGACAATTGCCCACTGCTGATGCTGATGGTACTAGAACTGGTGCCGATGATGCTGCCAGCCTCTTCGCAATGAAAAGCTCCTAACGCTGACAGCCCCACAATCTAAACACCTCCCCTTTGCCTGCAAGCCCCAAAAGCTTCGAGCGCTGATGCTGATGATATTGCTTCTTTGCCCGCAAACTCTGAACACTCCCGCCGACGTGCTCTTTGCCCGAGAACTTGAAAAGATGCGACTGCTGATGTTGATGATGCTGCCGCTTCGCCCACAATGATGCTGCCCCTTCGTCTGCAAACTTGTGAAGCTCCGACCGCGCATGCCGACGATAAGCCTGTGATGCTGCTTTTTCGGCCGTGAACCTGAAAAACCACCGACCGACGATGCTGACGATGCTCCTGCAGGCTCTGACAGCTGCGACCAATGTTGCTGATGAGTACGATGCCGAGCAGCCTACCACAAAACCTTGCATGAAACCGAGCCAAACACAAACACAAGTAAAGCGCAATGCCGAGTGCAAAAAGACTGCACGGTTATCCTTGTTCATCCAACACCCTGAACAACGCACCCTCAAACGCCGCCCCGAAAAAGGGAGTGTCATCCGGGCAGCGTAAAGCCGCCGTAGGACTTCTCCCGCCCGGCCGACTTGTTATGTACATGGAACGTCCGCAGCGGGGCGGCGACCCAGTCCGACTGCCCACCTCACTCGAAGACAGATCATCATCTCATCCACTAGGTGGGGATATCACAAAGAGCGACAAACTGGGGTTAGGGTTCTCTGTACGTGGAAGTAGATCAGATGAAGCGAGGCATCCGGAAGACTGGGTTCCACGAACATAGCCCCTAGCTCATTTAGTCGCTCTTGAGTCGCAGCAGTAGCAAACAAGGTGCACAGTTGGAGTTTTGATCGGGACCTGAAGCCAACTGCCTTTGTGATAGAAGGCTGATGCTAGCTGCTAGTGGTAAGGCCAAGCAGGCCACGCCAGGCCAGCTTCTCCATCCAGCCTTTCGTTCCCAGCCAGTCCACCATAAGATCCGTGTCCTGCTTTGGTCTTTAGGGCAGGGTTTCGATGTAGGATGAATTTGCTACCCTAACCTGCCGTCCAAGCACAGCTGTGTAGATGCTTTGTCGTCGGGGTACTGCATCGATCACAGACCCCAATAAAGAGGACCATTCGGAACAGCACCGCCAAGGAATCCCAAAGCGTCAACAACTCCTACAGGATGCAGGGAACACCCAAATCAAGAGAAATAAATAAAAAGCTGCGGGAACTCTGGTGCGAAGCAAAAGCAAGTTCAATCCTCTGAGTCGTTTAAGCCGACGGTGCCTGACCACTCCCCAGCCCTCACAGTCTTGATTCCGCAAGCATAAGCATATACAGGCTGCGACAGCCACCATGCAAAATACATGAAAGCCGGGTCCCCGGAGTAGGCCAGCACAGGAACACCACGCTCCAGAAGCTCCGCCACCAGCCCATCAGTGGAGCTCATGTAATCACCACTGCGCACGAACCTCGGAGTCTACGGCTTGGGGTTTAGCTCCAGGCTTCTGCGAAAGATTCTTGAACAATCGCAATGGCATGCACATGCACGCACACATTACATCTTGATCATACAAGGTGCGCAGAATCCACCTGCAGGTTGCAGGGTCGCCAAGCCAGGCCGACCGGAACCCCCAGAGCCTTCTGCACCTGATGGTGTGCAAACGCTTTAGGTTGAGCTCCAGCTGTACAGACTAGTTCCAGGAAACTGACCTGGAACCACACCACAACTCTTACGACGGACCGACACATGCCAGGCGTGAGAGTGAGATGGGCCTGTGCATCGTTGAGGAAGGCTTGGGCAGCTGAGAAGTCGAAGCAGTCCACCACATTCCGTTTGTGGCACACCTGTCTTAGGGCTTGCAGATTGGGACCTGTGTTGAGGCCCGGAAGCAAATCGACACCCGCTTGAGAGACAGCTCAGACAGGTTCGGAATGTGCCAGCACTGCCGAAGGACCAAGCCTGCCGCACGTCGTAGACGTTGCGTCCACACCGCATTTCGGGAAGCAACTCCTGAAAGGAGCGTGGAAGACTTGGCATCGGTGAGAACCCAACAGGCAACGCGGTTGAAGAAGTGAAACATGCTCGCGCAGACGTTTCCAGCAAGGATACCAAAAAGGTTTATCAAGAGTACTGCCACCATGCCCAATTAGTAGCATGATCACCCTGCCCAAGAGTCATTGGAGCCTCCTTGACATAATGTCTGACATCTATAGGAAAGGCCGTCTCGCACTTGGGCAACATACTGGCGATGACAGGTCCCAACTCCACAGCACAACAAGAAACCGGTCGATACGGCGATGCTGACAAACTGCAGAGCCAAGTGGCCGTGGTCAGGCACACCTGAAAGGCCCTGACGCACCTGAGTCAATTCAAACGAAGACACTGTAGTGTAGGACCTACACTGTTCACTCGCTGCTCTACTAAACCTGAAAGATTGAAATCCTACGTTGCCATAGAAAATCACAAACCCGCCATATCCTGCCAAGCCATACAGACCACTCGAGAACAGTCCCGCTCAAAATCCTGCACAAGCCTGCTTTGCAGGCCAGCGAGCGGGAACCCTTTCAAAGAATTAAAGTCAGTGCATCCCGGCAAGAAACCGCCTGCAGGCCACGGGGCGAGGGCGAGGTTTGCGTGCCAGGAGCACGCCGGCAGCGGAGGATGCTATCGAGGCATCCTCGGCCAGTTCAGCCTACATCTGACAACAAAAGCATAGATGTCAGAATTGAAACTTAAGTAGTCAGGACTGCTGCGAGTGCGACCCCACACATTCACCGATCGCAACCCCGGATTTAGCCTGCTTTGCCTGGGCCGTTACATGAATGTTATAGGTTTGGTGCCGTGACGCGGTGCCCGAGGTGTTTCGGGGTCTTCCTTCAAGCAATCGCGACTTAGCGACGCAGCATCTGTTTCGAGGCGCTCGCTATGAAAGGTTCTCAGCTCGGCTTCGGTCCTCTCCTGTTCCCGGGCCCTTGTGCCCTTGTGCCCTTGTGCCCTTGTGCCCTTGTGCCCTGTGCCCTTGTGCCCTTGTGCCCTTGTGCCCTTGTGCCCTTGTGCCCTTGTGCCCTTGTGCCCTTGTGCCCTTGTGCCCTTGTGCCCTTGTGCCCTGCTGTCCTTGTATGTATGTATGTATGTATGTATGTATGTGTGTGTATGTATGTATGTATGTATGTATGTATGCAGATATGTATACATGTGTATATGTATATGTGTATATGCGTATTTATGTTTATATGTGTACATGCATATAGATATATATATATATATATATATATATGTATGTGTATGTATGTATGTATGTATGGATGTATGTATGTATGTTTATATGTTCTCATGTGTACATGTATATGTGTATATATGTATATACGTATATATGGAGTGTGGGGGGCAATGGGTGTAGCACCTCACAGTTGCGCCGGTGCGCCGGTGCACCGCATGCAACTCGGCTGCGCCGATGCACCAGTGCGCCGTTGCGCCGTTGGAACACGGATGCGCCGATGTACCGGTGCGCCGGTGCGCCGATCCGCCACATGGATGCGCCATTGCGCCGACTGCGTCGGCCCATCAAGGATGCACCATGGCGGCTGCGCTGCCAACGCCGGCTACGCCGCATACGCCGCTGTCGCCGGCTGCGGCGTTGCGCCGGCTGCGCCGCTTGCGCCGGCTGCGCAGCTTGTGGAGCCTTGGACTAATGGGGCGCCCCTGATTCTAAAATCAGAACTCTTACCGCCCTTGAACTCCGAGGATGGAGCCTTGGACGAGGATGGAGCCTTGGACTGATGGGGGGCGCCCCTGATTTTAAAATCAGAACTCTTACCACCCTTGAACTCCGAGGATGGAGCCCTGGACTGATGGGTCGCCCCTGATTTTATCAGAACTCTTAGCACCCTTGAAATCCGAGGATGGGGCCTCCGACTGATGGGGGGCGCCCCTGATTTCAAAATCAGAACTCTTACCACCCTTGAATTCCGAAAAAAGGAGCCTTGGAACGGGGGCGCCCCTGTTTTTAGAATCAGAACTCTTACCACCCTTGAACTCCGAGGATGGAGCCTCGGACTGATGGGGCGCCCCTGATTTTAAAATCAGAACTCTTACCACCCTTGAACTCCGAGGATGGGGCCTCGGACTGATGGGGCGCCCCTGATTTCAACATCAGAACTCTTACCACCCTTGCACTCCGAGGATGGAGCCTGGGACTGATGGGGCGCCCCTGGATTTACAATGAGAACTCTTACCACCCTTGAACTCCGAGGATGGAACCTGGGACTGATGGGGCGCCCCTGGTTTAAAAATGAGAACTCTTACCACCCTTGAACTCCGAGGATGGAGCCTTGGGCTGATGTATGTGTATGTGTATGTGTATGTGTATGTGTATGTGTATGTGTATGTGTATGTGTATGTGTATGTGTATATGTATATGTATATGTATATGTATATGTATATGTATATGTATATGTATATGTATATGTATATGTATATGTATATGTATATATATGTATATATGTTTATGTGTATGTGTATGTATATGTATGTATGTATGTATATATATCTATATATGTATGTATGTGTATGCGTATGTATATGTATATATGTATGTATATATATATATATATATATATATGTATATATATATATATATATATATATATATATATATGTATATATATTATATATATATATATATATATGTATATGTGTATGTGTTATGTATGTGTATATGTATATATGCATATACGTATATATATATATATATATACAGAAAGCGTCGCACTGCAGGCCCGAGTTTTGGAGCTTTCCCTTTCTCCATATTGTAAGCTAGGATTGTGCAAGAGTGTTGCATTTATTTGTTTACAGGAAAAATTACTGAACAAAGAAAAATGTTATCTGATTGAAAGCTCCTATGGGAATAACGGGCCTGGATAGTGTCTGCAACATTAGATAGCCTAAACCAAAGAGCCAAAAGGCCTGGAGTCCGTGGCCCTGGCCCTGGCCTTGCAGCTGGGGGGGGGGGGGGAAAAAAAACTAAAGAATATGGTTTTTTTATTTTTATTTTTTTTTTTTCCCCCCCCCCTCCCCAGTCCAGCCCAGAGACCTCAAAACCTCAAAGTGCAGCCCTTCTGAGGCTAGAGCCAGGCCTACGGACCAAGCCAGCGAATTTCAGTAATTATACAAATCTGTAAAGCCTTCAGGCCTTAGGCCAAGAAGCAAGATCATAAATCCACCTAGACTCAGGACCGAGGAGAAACCTCATAAAGATCTTCATCTCTATCATCCACCCCTATGAGACATGTCAAGATTGCAACATAAGGTTATAGGTATTTTAATAGATATCACCTCGTGCATGATCCATATGTAGAGCTTGTCCATGCATTCCTGGGTATGTTTGTAGATACGTGTGTCTACGTGATCATTCAACTTGACAAGTCGCATGACATCGCATATGTGTTTGTATACATATATATGTATAAACAGAGGAACCATGCATTTAACTGTCGTGAATGTGTGCGTATATATATATATATATATATATATAGAGTTACACTTAGCATGTATGTCTAAGTATATTTTTCCTATGAATATCATACAACAATGATTAGAACCAGGTCGTTGAAAACTACATTGTTGATGCCATTGTCGGTTCATGTCTAAATACATATGTGTTATCATGTCAGATGTACAGTTTATATATATAATATATACATGTATCGATCGATCGAAAACATGTACGATAGTGATAGATGTGCAAGTTGATAGGGATATCTCAACCATCGATTTGGTTTGTATATATATATACACACACGCGAATTTGTTGCGGCCTTAGGGTTTAGAAAGTTGAAGGCTTATGCAACCCCATCACAATGTTGTGCTTTTGGGTGAAACACTCGGTTTTATCATGTTTTTTACTGGGTGATTGAAAATTGCACTATCAGACACGATGCATGCATTCCCCAAAAGATGCATAAGCCCTGATACGAGATGATAGATCACAATCCCAATCGTTCGTTCAGATAACCACGGTTGAAACTGCGGAGCGGATAGGCGGGACCCCCCCCCAATCCTATCAGGGATTGCCCTATGCTTTCGAAACCACAGCCTTAGCAGGATATGAATAAGAGCAACGGACAGGTGGCCAAATCTTCATCGTTATGACTAAAGATGATGGACCCAAATTGCGCAGACACAGACAAGATGACAGCAATCAATGAAATTAAATGACTCGGAAGACTGGCAAAAGTTCAAAAAGGGCTAGAATGGAGGAGTGGTTCGCAGTGGTTCGAGAAACGAAACTTTCCAAATACAAGTGGACATAGTGGAAGGCTGTCCAAACGGCTAATAATGATTAGATATGATGCAGTTTATGTAAAAATGTTTAACAGATATGTATAAATACATATAGCTCTTAAATTAAGATATGGGAAACAGATGATGCGTCTCAAACACTAACATCACGATTGGGTTCCAGCAATCCACCATATTGGACAAGTTGGGTGGCAAGCCCAAAAAAAATTCAGGGAGGTGATGGAATCCAGTTCATCATCCCGAAGAAGGGTAGCAAGTTTGAATGCATGATATATTCTGATCAGGATACATGGGTGGCATGTCCAATATGTTCATCCTTGGCGGCAGACTGCGGGTAAAAATCCATAGTCAACCCCACTAGGTCAGAAACACTTTAAACTCCAACAAAAGATGATATGTGGAAATTCAGCAACTTAACACAAACATGGTGGAGAGCCAAGACTAACATCTAATTGTGGCATTTCTGTCCCAACTAACAAGGCATAACTGATGTTACACTAGAACCCTGAAAGATACAGTGAATGCCAAGATCCAGAAATAGGTCATAACATCTGACATGTTCCTCAAGCATGCCTACTGGGTCTGAAGAAAAATGGAAGGGGTGGCTATCCCGAATATTTCGAATAGGTATTTTAACAGCACAAAATCAAATGTCTGTTGCATAACTGTGTTGGTCAGTTACCATTCAGCATGTTTGTAAACTTGCAGGAGGTTTTGCCATTGTGTTCGATTTTGCTACAGATGTGCCAAAAGTCTTGAGAAGCATGAAGAATGTACTGAAACTCGCTTATTTCGACTGAAAAACACGGGCCTGCATCCCGACGCACTCTCTATAAATATGTATATGTATGTATATGTATATGTATATATATATATATATGTATGTATGTATATGTACATACATGTATATATATATATGCATTTGTGTATACATGTATTTATGTATACATGTGTATATGTATATATATATATATATATATATATATATATTTATACATACGTATGTGTGCTGTTTATTTATATAAGTATATGTGTAAAAGGTGTACATATGTATATATGTATGTATGTATATATGTATTCTTATTTATACATACGTATATGTGCTGTCGCGCTCTTGTGCCCTTTTGCCCTTGTGTCTTTATGTCCTTGTGTGCTTGTGTCCTTGTGTCCTTGTGCCCTTGTGCCCTTGTGCCCTTGTGTCTTTGTGCCCTTGTGCCCTTGTGCCCTTGCGCCCTTGTGCCCTTGTGCCCTTGTGCCCTTGGCGTGCCCTTGTGGTGCCCTTGTGGTGCCCTTGTGGTGCCCTTGCCGTGCCCTTGTGCCCTTGTGCCCTTGCGCCCTTGTGCCCGGGATCACTGGGGGACCTCTCTCCTCAGCTCGGGACCTACGACCAACTCGATATTTGCCCGTTTTCAGCCATGTGCAGGTGCCTTGCGGTTTTGCCATCCAAGCATCCCGGCAAGCCAGCCTCCATAGATGCAAAGACCTGCTGCAGCTCTGCTACGGCTTGCTTTCGTCTGGATATGAGTTCAAGAGCGCAGAACCATCAGAATCACTTCGCATCTGTGGCCCTCCTAACGAAGCAGTGCGTGCATATATAATCTGCAGGTTGTCTAGAACATCTTCCTCCCAGAATGCTAGATTGTCTCCATCCCTTCGTCGCCCTTTAGAACTTGCTTCGGTTCTTCTACCTACAATCAACCATCTTAAGCCTTGCATGTCAAGCCCGCTGCTGTGCCTGTTCTCCTGAATCGACAACTCCAAAGAAGTTCTGGCATCTTCTACCGACATTATGTTGTATACATCTACATCTACATATACATATACATATACAGAAAATCACGCGCACATACTAGTGCATATCTGTGCACGCATCTCTTGCTGCCGACAACCAGTGGTGACGATGTGGGAGTTTCCGAAAATAGGCACCCTAAATAATAGGATCCTTATTATAAGGACCCCCGCACCCCTAAGTTTCGGAAACTCCAACCCTTATCGAGCCTTTAAAGGAACCCTTGTTGTACCCGACTAGTAACCCTTTAAAGGAACCCGTAGGTACCCCTAATTTTCGGAAACTCCCATTCTCTTTCTGCAGATCACCATTGCAGCCGTTGCCCGCCTCCTGGCTCACCACTCCGCCCACGGATCCTCCCTCCTGGAGGCTTTCGTAAGTTATATAAGGCTATATAGGAGAGTGCGCAAAAAGAGGCCCGCGGACTATCGGTTATGGGGTAGAAAGGGTTGTAGGGTTTAGGGTTCAACCCATACTACCCACTTAGAGTTTGGTGGTTTGGGACTCTGGTGGTTTAGGCTTGGGGCATAGACTTTGAGGGCTTTCGACACTCGCACGTCGGGTGTCTGTTGGCGCGTGTCTGCTGCTATCGCGGACAGGTCAAATCATGATTCTGACACGTGCCGCAGAGCTTTACATGACATGTCCGGACGCAAGGCGCTTTACAAGATTCCTGCCTTAGTGCAGAAGGCTTCGGACAGAAGTCGCACGGTAGTGTTGTTGGGCCCATAGGACGCTTGTCGTCCTGCTTGCCACCAGTGAAGGCCATGAGCGGCCGGGAGGCGAACTGCCTAGGCTTCAGAGAAGGGTCCTCGCTTGGATCTCGCTTGTGGAGAGCTATCCCGATGCACATATTTCGCAGCACAGACACGCAGCAGGGCTGACCAGCGCATTCCCCAGAGCGAGGCCCCTCACCTGCGGCCAACCCAAAAGGCCAGACCGCATTAAGGAAGGGTTTAGGGTTTGGGGTTCAGGGTTTAGGGTTTAGGGTTTAGGGCTGAGCGCTGCTGCTTCGTTCGCTCGATGGCGAAACGTCTTCCAAGGGACCAGCCTTCGCCAGGCGCGCACCTCGGTCCCAAGCGGCAAGCAGCTCTGTCGCCACCGCGGGGACATAGTGGCCTGTGTGAAAGGACAGTTGCCCGAAGCAGAAAGTTATCCCGTCCTACACCGTGCTAAACAGGAATGCATCCCAAGGCACTGGTGCTCGGAAGATCCAAGCCAACGAAAACACACGCAAGCTCTGGAATCTCAGACCTTGACTGCCAGGCTACCCTGGCGACCCCCGTCTCCCCCGGCCTGCATAGGACTCACCTGCCAAGAACCTGCGCTGCGCTTCGATCAGTGCTGAAAACAACATGCGATTGCCATGGACAGGGCAGTTGCTGAATTCACCCTTCCCTCGAGGTCCTTTGGCATGGCAGACATGTGAATGACCACATCCTTCCTCCAAACTGTGCGGCTAAGAAACAGCGGCACTTTCAGCAAGGATGGATACCGTTCGTAGAAGGCCAGCATGAAAACCAGCATCCGTTCGGACACCTCCAGCTCGTCATCGCTCTCCGCCCCCACGGAGAAACCAACCTGCCGGGACAGCACCATCTTGCTTTACTTACCACCATAGGCATGTCCGGCTCGCGTCACCTCTCCAGGCTGATCCACCCAGAGGACGGTGCCGGCTTCGGTCCTGCCAGACATGGAAACGTGAGGTCTCCGGTGCAGGACTGCGGAATTTAGGGTTGAGAGCGCTGGAGTTTTAGGGGTTGAAAGCTACGTTTGTGTTGAGGTTCTCGTGTTTTTTGCCCCCTGCCTGGCTAGATCCATGCCCACAAGGCAAAGGCTTTGAGTTAAGGGCCTAACCTCTGAGACGACGATCTGCAAGGACTCTGTTGCCCAGGCATGTACATGCTTCTACGATGCGGAGCCTATCTTGCCAAGCTGTCACGAAAGTCTGTGGCACGGGGGCCGGCGAGTTGAAAGTCTACACAGGAACCCTAAACCCCGCAAAACAACAGATGGAGCCAAGAGCCTGACATCCAAACGATTTTGGAAAGCGACGGTTCCGGGTGTAAAGCTACGGGGTTTTTAGGATTTCGGTCTCCTCCTGAAAGCTCTATGAGTTTTGCCTTCGTCTACATTCCCACACCCGTCTACCACCTCTGCCCTGCAGTCCAGCTCCATGGGTTCCGCCTCATCCTCCATTTCTCCGATGCGTTGCCCTTGCATGCCGGCATGAGGTCACAAGAGAAGCAACCCGAGGAAGCAGCTCCAGGTAAAAGAAGCGCAATGTGATCTTACGAGCCGTACCGTACAAACATTGCATCAATTTTCAGGGGCGGGGCATGTAGTTCAAGATCCTGAAGGCCTCGGAAGCCCTGCACCGTCCCTTTACGATCTTGTGAAAGCCGGGCGCCGCAAAACCAGGAATCCGTCCTCGTGAAATGCTTGACTGTTTCTTTATCTCTGAAAAAACGAAAAACGTTCTTTCTAAGACACCACTGCCTTGTCAATCAAGCAGGGGCCATTCTCGGTCAGCATCGCCAGGATCGAGGAACAGCCAGGCCCGCCAGTCATCCTCGTGAAGCTACGGACAACTTTTAGGATGATAGGTTCAAAGAAAAGCATTGGCCTTGGGGTTTTTTTTTTAGACGAATTTAGGGGCTTAGGGTTTAGGGCTCTCAGTCCCTAAGGCTTGTCAGCAGTAAGGATTACTACTATACAAATATGTAACATGTACAAGTGATCTTTTGGCCTGTTGCTCACCATCCCAGACCAGTTGAGGTCTAGGGCGCAAAGCATCCTTCCACAAACACACATTTGGGGGTTTCCGAAAATAGGGGACCCTAATATAGCACCCTAAATAGTAGGATCCTTATTATAAGGACCCCAAAAGAAGGTGCCCTTAATTTTCAGAAACTCCCACATTTTCTCAGCCTTTTAGAGCCTTCTCCAGGGCTCCTCAGCTAAACCAGGAAACACAGAGGGCGATCCCCGTCGCTGTAGACAGACATCTCCGTTTCGAAGTCTTGATATAGAAGAGCCTTGGAGCCCTCCGGAGGTCCGACACCCCACAGGAACCTGAAAAGTGACCCTGGAGTCAGCTTCAAGCCAAGGCACCACAGAATTAAGGGTGCGGAGTCGTTCCGGCGCGTGTCCGCCAGCCAGTAGAAGTACTGTGCACCTGGCATGAACTTTGGGTTTTGGTGTTGGTGCTTCGACTCCCATACTCGGACTGGAAAGGATAAGTTGGGCGAGACCGTTCCGAAGGCAGCAAAGACATTCCGCGGAAAGTCTGTGACACCTGGTATGCCCTTGTTCGAGCGAGCTCAAATCCCAAGCTAGTGAGCAGGATCCACGACCCAGAGAGACAGTACGAGTTACCACTCCGGCAAACTCAGGGTTCAAAGTTACACAACATAGGTCGTTGGTTCTAGGCTATACTCCTCACATCTGAGCCGTGCAACACGACTCGGAAACATGTGGGAGAGCCTCTTGCGAAACGCAAGAATGGATCCCTTTACCGATCCTCCACAAAACAAGCGCCTCGCCCTGCCGGCAGGAAGCCAGTTCGGGAAGGGCTGTCATCACCTCCGCACACGGGCACTCTGCTCGATGCCTTCGACCGGTGCAAGAACCGCTGACCGGGAGAAGCTCGCAGAGCATCAACAAGGAAGCGTCAGCCGCCTCCACCAAAAAGCCACGATTCCCGGGGCCCGCGCAGAAAGTCTTGGGGCCCTGTTTGAAGTCCTGATGCTCCTCACGCCAGCTACTGGGGTAAAGGATTTTGTGGTACTACGTGCTAAGTTATAACTCAGGTCCCTCAAGACTGCCTATCAGGGTTTCAGCCTCGGGGCGTGGGGCTTGCGGTTGGTTTCGGGTGTAGAGTTGGCCTTGGGACCAAGCAATCCGCATGAAGCTGCATGCACTTAGTCCACGGCAAGCGTGACTTCCACACTGCCAGTAAGATGGGATTACGACCGACGGCTCGAGGTTGCACTCTTCCTGGAGGTCCCACCGTGGGCCCGAAGACGGCTCAGTCTCTGTCCGTCCTTTCTCTGTCCGTCCTTTTTCCTCTCGTTGGTCTCAGGGGTTCCATTGCCTCCGTGTGAAGTGCCTTACTATCTGCAAGGTCCTAGCCGCCAAAAGCTCTCTATCTCTCCCGGTACGGTCGGAAACACTAACCCGGACAGGCTGGGAGAGCTTGCGAGCAAACCGAAGACATCCCGCAAACATCCTCTAACCCTCCGAAGAGGTATGCAAGGAAAGCACTGACAAATCCATGTGCCTTAATAAATTTAAAAGGGTTTTGGGGATTCCTTATTATAGTTATGGTTTAGGTTACCCCGAAACCCTGAAACCACGTCCTTCCCTCCGGCGGCCAAGAGCAGCAGACCAAGACCGAGGAGGGCATACGCCATGGCTTCCGGACCAACTTGCGGTGCTTGCTCCTAGCCCTGGACGAGCACCCTTGTTTTGAGAAACCAACTTGTTCAAGAACATCTAGGGCCCAGGCTAGCCGGGTGTGTTTGATACACTGCGGTTAAGCTGAGGCATTGCGGTGCATGGATCGATAATATATGGAAGAGACATTCCACCCCGGCAGCTTGAGGAGTTGTGAACATGGCACATGTAGCCGCAGCTGTCCGCATTCTGTGGAGCTTGGGGGCTCCTGTTCTGTGGGCCAAATCCCAAACCCTCAACACATAAGGCAGCATCAGTCAAAGCTAAGCTCCAACCCCTCGATGCTAGGCCCGAAGACCCAATACCCCGAGGATTTAAAGCACCAAGTAAGCCTTGAACGGGTTCTCCGTGCCCATGTCCCGTTGGAGATCGGTTGGGGTCCACGTCGCACCTCAACGGCTGAGGGAATGAGGCACTAGCAATGCATAGGATTCTTGTTTGAAGTAGATCATATTAAGTGAAGTAGATCAGTGCAAGCACGACCACCTGATAAACGAACGATGGTGCCATGCTCCACGATGCCAATCGAACTTGGACAATTAAGGCACTGTTTTGAAAGCTGTGCTTGAGGTGACGGCAGCGCAACGACACATAAGATAAAAAACCCTCGCCAAGCCTTCAGTATTTCAGACCCATGCCCATTGTAGAAATCAGTCGAAACCCACCTTGCACCTTTGACAACTGAACCCTGTCAAAGACTTCCTCGAGGTCTCTGCAGGGACGCATCTCATACTCGGTCAAGATGTTGTCGACCCCTTCACCTAGGCTCGGAGATCGATCGATGGTTTCGACTTCGAAAAGGGGCGGTGTTTTTGTTGGGCATATGTTGGCTCGCTCGGAGTCGTATGTGGTCTTCTTTGGGTTGCGACTGTTGGATTCGAGAGTTTGGCAGCTGATGGGGCAGGCTCCGAAAATGAAGATTTGGAGATTAGACACGTGAGCTGAGGGGACATGAGGCCGTGGTTCAGGGTAGGGATTGGGGTTGGGGGTTAGGGTTGCATCATCGAGTTGTGGACCTGTCGAAGTCCGGTTTCTCTACGGGGTACTGCACACACTTGTCGAGCATGCGACTGTGTGTGTGTGCAGATGTGTGTATATATATATATATATACATATGTATATGTGTGTGTTATTGCTGAATATATGCATTATATATACATATGTAAGCACATATGTACATATACATACATACATACCTACCTACCTTTCTTTACATATCATGAGCATTTACTTCTGCATGTACACATGTAGTTATTTTCTGTGAATCACGAATGCGAATGTGATGGACGGGGAGTTCTGCTTAGCGGTCCACATCTACTACTCCCAGTCTTCATTGCGGGCTCCGCCGATTTCAGAAACTCTGGCACCCGCCTACGTTTGTAAAGCTCCTGCCCTTTGTAGCGACGCGCTCGCAGAGTTTTCTGCGGCCTAGCCACGCATTGGTGCATCCCGGCGCCACTCGGACGACAGGACCTCGGGCTTGCTGCAGCTCTTTTCAAATTTACATTGTGATCCCCACAGCTAGTTTCGGGATCGAAACAGTTGCTTTTAGCTTGAACCCACTGCCAATATTGCGATAACTACTCGTTCATCTCACTGCTGCTGATTCTGTCGATCATACTAATTAGTACTCGACTCGCTACATCTGTTTCCTGTGTCGTTGCCATGTATCGGCAACTGGTGTTGCTGCTCGGCAGCTGGGCTTGCAGTGGGACTCCAGCCGGTGCAGGAACATCATGAACCCTTTGCGCATAGCGTCGAAGAATCCACCTATTATGGGTCGGTCTGCCCATGTCTGCCCGGAAGACAGGGAAACCTCAAGGCAACCTCCGCTGAACACGTCCTACTGCGATCAAAATGCGATGATGGCCCCCGTGCTCTCGACGATGTGCCGTAAAGAAAGCCTTGGAGCGCAGACGTTGGTGGAGGCTTAGTGCCAGGGAATTGAGTTGCGCTCTTCTGGGCAAGCGATGGCAAGCCTGCCGGAACGGAGTTCGGGGTTTTCCGCTACAGCTACAGCACCATGAGCAGTAATTTAACTGATCTCCGTTATTCCATGCGCTTTGTTGTCGTTGATGTTGTTGTTGTCGTCGTGGCTCTTGCCCTGATATCACTGATATCCATCATGCCTTCTGTCCTATGCCAGCCTTGCTAGCCTCATGTTGTCATTGTCAACCACGCGTCACACATCTGTCATAAGCACAAACACCACTCCTTCTACAGAATTTGGTATCACC